CGCAACATACCTCGAACTATACATTTTAGGTTTACTTCGACCAACAAAAAATGCTTGAGTAGGTATGTATAATTTGATGAGACGATTTAATGTATATACGTAAATGACATTATTGTTGATTTTTTTTTTCAATATCTCCACTCGAAGATTCTTCAAATCGCGACATTTCCACAGATTAGATATAGTTTTCTGATAACGCAAGTTTGAAAAAACTTGACATTAAGATTTTTTTACAATTTTGGTTGTCATGTCAACTGTGAGGGTAGATTTTGTCAGCAGTAAAAACACAAGAGCTTTTCTTTATCGCGGATACATTTTTCTTGGTAACGAAAACCATTTGCCGATCAGTAATTTTACGAGAAAAACTGACATGAAAAGAATTTTATCGATAAGACGATTCATCAAATTCAAAGCAAACCAGGTCCACCACATCAAAATCAACCATCAATAACGACAAATATAATACCATACATTCCCGGCATATCTGAAAAATTAAAACATGTAGGTGATAAATTTCAAGTCAAAACTATATGTGTTCAAAACTGAAAATACAATGAGTTCAATTCTAACTCGAACAAAACCGAAAAATTAGGAACAATCGTCAAGAAAATTGTATTCACAGTATACCTTGTGTTTGTGGAAAGTTTTATACGGGTGAAACCAAGAGACCTCTTTCAGTAAGGACGAAGGATCATGAATATATACAATATAAAGAAAAGACACATCGACAAATCGAAACTAGCTGAACATATCCTTACTGAAGAATGACAACATATCAGAGCGGAATAATATTAAAATCATTGGAAAAGAAGATATAACAACCAGAAGAGGAAAATCAAGGAATCTGCTTGCATTCTTCTGAACGGAGACAATAGCATTGCTTCCTGTACAGTTGATATAGATAGAACATGGTATTCACTACTGAAATCTGAAGATGAAAATGTCACTGAGAACTGAGAAGTGTCAAGACAAACACGTAACGGGAGCAGATTCGTTCCCGAAACATCCAAAGATAAGTGAAAATTTGATATTTTGTCTATATACCTTTATTTCTCTTCTCCAAACCTTTTTCAATACAAATTGTCACTGACAAGCTGGTAAATTTTTCTTCCATGCTCTTTGATAGGAAAATTCTTTAAACGCAGTGACATTTTGGGGCAAATCATCTGATTTTTGCCCTCACTAAACGTATTGTAATGTATTGAAATAGTATTCATATTTTTATTCTATAGAGACGAGGAGAGAAAATTCCAAAAAATATCTGGAATGATGAGATTAAACGACTTTGATTGGATAAAATAATAAAAAAAATATACGTAGGAGCTCAATATCGCAGTTTTTTACAGTCATTTACCTAAAGTCGGTAGACATATATTTTCTTTCTAGGAACTTAATTTTACGTAATCGGAAGTTTATTTAAATGTCATTTCACCTATAAACGTCAAAATATTTCCACTGTAATTTCATGCTGCTTTCCCCAAGGAGGATATAAAAATTTCCAAAAATTTATTCAGTTGCTACGGCAACGATACAGAATAGAGGCATTCTAATTGATCGACCATGTTAGGTGTGAAGGTTTTAGTACCTATACAAGAATCAAAGAGACGCCTATATATTTTTTTATCGCTTGGAGCGCACGAAAGGGAATCCCTATAATGTTCAAAGAACATCGTGCGGTCCTAGGGAGGATAGGGACAGGAGGTAGGTATTGGAATTTTTTTTTTGAACTTTTGGATATTATATATTATGTTGTTGGGAATACTTCCACAGGCAATGAATTCCAGAGCCTAGCCGTTCTATGGATGAAGGAGTCTTGATAAAGTGCTGTTCGACATCTTTCGAGGTTGACAACGAAAGGATGTGCTGACTGGGCTTGTCTAGTTTGTCCGACTGGTATTGCTAGTGAAGGGATGATAGCAGAGATTTCCGAAGAACATTTCCCGTGGAAGTATCGATAGAAAAGTGAAAGGTCGCCGACCTTTCTACGGTGTTCCAATGATGTCAAAGAGTGAGTGAACCAGGCGAATGGCTCTTCTCTGGATGGAATCTAAGAGCATCAACGTATGTTTTGGTGCTGAACCCCATATGTGGGAACAGTATTCTAGAACAGGCCGTATCTGCGCTTTGTAGATCATGAGAAGCTGTTGAGGTGTAAAGTAGCTTTTCGCACGGAACAAGAATCCGAGTTTTTGTGAAGCAGCTTTTGCGATGGATCTGACATGATTATCCCATGAAAGAGTGTTGATGATGGAAATACCGAGCATAGATATGGTGGGCTTGGTGGGGATGGTGGAGCCAGACATTATAATATCGGGCATACTGAGAGAAAAAGAGAAAACAGAATCGTTCCAATAAAAAAATTATGGCATATCTAGGAACACGCAGAAATTGTACAAAGTATACAGCTGACGGAACATTGATTTCGTCTCAAATCTGTATTTTGGTCTCCTATTTCCGTTCCCTTGTATGCCATTCACAATATTATAGCTTACTCATGAACCTAATTCAATCTGTAACCAACATGCATTCCACATTCTATTCAAATAAGTCTTCAAACAAACAACAAACAATTTCCAAACTTGAACGCCGAAGAAGATTCATCAACTAATAGTTTCAAATGCCACCAAATAGGGATTATTCACCAACACTAGTGCTATAGTGGGAACTGGGAATTTCGAACAAGGAAGGTAAAACTTGACTAATCAAATCAAGGCATTCCTCTCTGTCAAATTCCCCTCCTGCTCAGAGGCTATTATTAATATTTACCCCGACAATAGGCGATGCCGAACAAATTAACTTAGGAGAAACACAATTATCTCTTAATCAATTCCATCGTCGGAGGATCAACCCTTGTTAAACTCGCCAGTATAATCCAGTCAAATTGTATTTTTACGAGGAAAGCTATGGGGTAGTTTTGATTTCTTTCATTCGATACGTATTTCGGGTTACTGAATCCGAATCTAAGGTTTGCTAACAAAATTTCGTGACGGAACATTGAAAGAAATCCCAAAAATGGTGGAAAATATAATTCTAGCGGGTTTTTGATTTTAACTCGAAAACATTCAACATTTCTCAAACAACCTTTTCATCCAAAATGTATGTTTGGAAGTTTATAGAATTTCCTACAAACATCACTATTATAGTTTTTGTTGATCGATGAACCGTTCGAGCTCAAGTTGATATTCAGAGAACATCGTGAGAACCAAGGAAAATAAGGTAGGAATTGGTGTTCTTCTCAAATTTCTGGAGGTTATATGCCTCGGGAAACACCTCCCTTGGCAATGTGTTCCAGAGTCTCGCTGTTTGTTGGGTCAACGAATCTTTGGAAAGAGATGTTCTGCAAGTCTCCAAAATGACCACGAAGGGGTGCGAAGCCTCAACTCGACGGGTTAATCTCGCGGGGACTGCCAAGGGAGGAACAATTGTTGATATTTCAGAAGAGCATCGTCCCTGAAGATATCTATAGAATAGAGCCAGATCGCCAACTTTCCTTCGGTGTTTCAGAGAAGTGAGTGAGTGAGTTTGTGAGCGAGGCATCACCTACTAGACGAATTGCCCTTTTTTGGACAGAATCCAACAGTTTCAGGGTATTTTTGGGTGCTGCACTCCAAATATGGGAACAGTATTCCAGGACAGGTCAGATTTGTGCCTTATAGATCATGAGCAGCTCCTGGCCTGAAACAGAAAACCAAGTTTTTGGGATGCACTTTTAGCATCGAAATGAATGTCTTCTAAGGTATGGTTACTCTTGAGAAGCTTATGTTTGGGCACAGTGAGATCGGCTTTTCTAGAGCAATGGCATGCTTGTGTTTTGTTCGCATTGAAATCTAACAAGTTATTGGATCCCCATTCGAGAATTGTTGCCAAGTCCATATTTATGTTGTCAACATTTCTCCCTCGTTCGTTTCTGATTTTCCTGGCTGGTATTGGAGCCCTGGAAGAAAAGGCGGTATGGAGGGTACTATCATCCAAGCTGTGTACTGGACATGAAGTTGCTTCCAACAAATCGTTGATAAGGAGTAGAAATAGTGTTGGTGCTAGAATTGATTCTTGCGGAACACCATCAGCATTCATGATAAGAGAGTCAGATGAAACTCCGTCGACCACTACATGGAGAGACCTGTTTGAGAGAAAACTAGCTAGCAGAGAACATAGCTGGGGAGGCAAGCCATAAAATGGAAGCTTGGCGAGGAGTCCGTGGTGCCAGACTCGATCGAATGCATTGGAGATATCAAGTGCCACGGCTAAGGTTTCACCATAATTTTCAATAGATTGCTGCCATATCAGTCACTCATCAAGTTTGGGAAATGTCGATAGTTTGAAACTGGAACAGAGATATTTTTATGGACAAATTTCCTTGTTAACCTGACGAGTATGCACTGATGATGACTTAACAGTCGAAAGCGCTCTGCTACGAGTAATAAATTTGAATGAATTATCTTGCCCTTCCCTTCATTGATATTATTTCAAAGCAATACATCTCTTTTATATCAAAGATTGTGGTTTCCTCGGGAAGTTTCTCTATTGGGTGTGTTTTGTTTTCATTGTACAGTATATATTTTTTTTAAAAATTGTATAACTTCCAATGGTTTCGAGTGACAGCTGTATAGTAGTATAGTCCACCGCAACCTCCAAACTGATGATGTATATTATGTGGTTGCAGGAGGAATCTGAGTGGATTAAATGTTTTGTAGATAATCAGGTGAAATGTTTTGTAGAGAATCAGGTGGGGGCAATTTTTCTCACTGTTGCGTCATGAAATTTCGATGTTAGCAAACCTCGGTTTCGAATTCAGCAATCATCACCCCAAAAAATATGTTGAATGGAAAAATATCAAACTTACCCCACAGCTTCTCCTCTAGAAACTCTTTCGGCATCAAAACTACCCTCCGCGCTTAAGGGTCGCGAATCGCAGTAGGCGGATCTATCGAAAATCCACCGTCGGCCTTTATTCCGCCGCCAGACGGCGATTGTTTGCAAGTCACTCTGGATAACGTCCGCGATGAGCGACTTGCCATCAAAAGACTTCCTCGAGGAGACCAGTCTCACGCAAAATCGCACCCCTTTTCTCATCGAAGACATCCTGTATAGGCAGAAGAGTGAGCACGAACAGAGTTTTGAATGTGCCGGTCGCGAAAGAGGTTTTCAGTTGCCGAGGGTGTTGGAAAAACGCGTGCCACAGCAGGAGAAAGGTTACAGCTATTTCCAGTCCAACGTGATACAGGGTGGGATGGTTCCGGGGTTCCCGCAGCCGGACAACGGGTATATTCAAGTGATGGGGGCGCTCGGGGCTTACTTGGGGCCGCCGTACAAAAATATGACGGATCCGTATTTTCTCACACAAGGTAAGATTTTTTCTGTTTGTTCGAACTAAACTACGCAACACTTATTTCGTCGCATCCCAAAATTTTGTCCCTGTTTAAATATGAATAACTTTTTTCGGCTTTGAACAATTTGAATTCGGATTACATTGTTCGCTAACCCAGTCTTTCAGCTATAATCTCGTACTTCTTTAAAACACGAGGTTCTTCATATAAAATCGCTACAGGGTATCACGTGAAACTGTGAAAAATTTCGGAATTTTCAAAAGGATCCCAAATGGACAAACACTTTTTTTTTCAACTTCGACAGCAGAGGCATGAAAATGATCTCATTCCTTATTTATTGCGTAATTGTATTTTATTTGAAGTTTAGATTGAGGAAGTTTATACATGAGATCATTAATGAAGTTACTAAATGACATCAATGTTATTTGTTTTATAGTAGTGATGGAGACACTCAATGGGTACAGATATCTTATACGTATATTATCTCTATCAAGGAAGCAAGCTAAAGCCACTTTATTTTACCTCCCACGGAAGGTAATATTTTTTCCTCCCGTCAGTCATATATATGCCCGAGATCACCTTTCGCCAACGTACTATAAGGAAGATTTTATTGGGTCTCAACACCAACAAAGGCAACAAAGCTTGTGGCTCCGACGGAATCCCACGGATTGTTCTCAAGAAATGTGCTCCCGAACTAACACCTGTTCTCTGCAAGTTGTTCAATTACTCTCACAAATTGGGGATATTCCCGTCCAACTGGAAAATTGCGAGAGTACAACCCAGTTTCTAAAAAAGTCAAAAAGACCCTATACCTATAGCAACTACAGACCGATCGCACTGCTATCTATTATTTCAAAGATCATGGAGAAAGGTATCAACATCGAGCTCATGAAATACCTAGAACACTCAGGTATTATCAACGATAGGCAATATGGCTTTCGTCACCAGAGATCTACTGGTGCCTGCTCGCTTACTTCTCACATACAAAGTGGGCCTTTGAAAACGAAACAGAGGCTCTGTAGGTCGCCAAAACCGGATTATCAAAAAAAACTGAAACAGGTCAACTACATTTTCGAGGGGGATATCTTTCTAAAATATTTTCAGCCCTGCGGCGTTGCCGCTTCTAAAGAAAAGAAGCAACAACTTTGTTATTTCAAATGGAACACCTTGTATTTTATTGCATTTTTAGATTCTCACCGAAGAGCTGATTTCATCAATGCATCACACTTAGGGTCTAGCTGTAATGGTTTCAGGGATATAAAGTGTTCAAAATCGAGATTTTTCAACTTTAACATTTTTTTGTGTCGAAACTATTCATCATTGGTCAAAACGGCTCTTATGTCCCGATCTCAACTTGTGATTTACTATCTACTGACATTTATTTGAAACAAATACAGGGTGGTTCAAGATTCAGAATTCTGATCATCCTGTATCTGTTCCAGTTAAATGTTAGTAGATAGTAAATCACAAGTTGAGATAGGGACATGAGAGCCGTTTCGACCAATAATGAATAGTTTCGACACAAAAAAATGTCAAAGTTGAAAAATCTCGATTTTGAACACTTTATATCCCTGAAACCATTACAGCTAGACCCCAAGTGTGATGCATTGATGAAATCAGCTCTTCGGGGAGAATCTAAAAATGCAATGAAATACAAGGTGTTCCATTTGAAATAACAAAGTTGTTGCTTCTTTTCGTTAGCAGCGGCAACGCCGCAGGGTTGGAAATATTGTAGGACGATGTCCCCCTCGAAAACGTAGTAGACGTGTTTCAGATTCTTTTCATAATCCGGTTTTGGCGACCTACAGAGCCTCTGTTTCGTTTTCAAAGGCCCACTCTGTATATGGCAGCAATCTATTGAAAAATATGGTGAAACCATAGCCGTGGCACTTGCTATCTCCAAGGCATTCGATCGAGTCTGGCACCACGGACTCCTCGCTAAGCTTCCATCTTATGGCTTGCCTCCCCAGCTATGTTCTCTGCTAGCTAGTTTTCTCTCAAACAGGTCTCTCCATGTAGTGGTCGACGGAGTTCCATCTCACTCTCTCATCATAAATGCTGGTGTTCCGCAAGGATCAATTCTGGCACCAAAACTATTTTCTACTCCATATCAACGATTTGTTGGAAGTAACTTCATGTCCAGTACACAGCTTCGCAGATGATAGTACCCTCCATACCGCCTTCTCTTCCAGGGCTCCAATACCAGCCAGGCAAATCAGAAACGAACGAACGAACATATAAATATGGACTTGGCAACAATTCTCGAATAGGGATCCAATAACTTGGTAGATTTCAATGCAACCAAAAGTCCAAAACACAAGCATGAATTTTCTCTCGGAAAGCCGATCTCACTGTGCCCAACATATGCTTGTCAGGAGTAACCATACCTTTGAAGGCATTCATTTCGATGGTTGGTATCACTATCAGCAATAACCTTTCTTGGGAAATTCACGTGGGATCAACTGCTAAAAGTGCATCCCAAAAACTCGGTTTTCTGTTTCGGGCCAGGAGCTATTTCACTTCGTCAGCTGCTTATGATCTATAAGGCACAGATCCGACCTGTCCTGGAATAATGTTCCCATATTTGGAGTGCAGCACCCAAACATACCCTGAAACTGTTGGATTCTGTCCAAAAAAGGGCAGTTCGTCTCGTGGGTGTGCCTCGCTCACAAACTCACTCACTTCTCTGGAACACCGTAGAAAAGTTGACGATCTGGCTCTATTTTATAGATATCTTCTGAAATATCAACAATTGTTCCTCCCTTGGCAGTCCCCGCGAGATTAACCGGTCGAGTTGAGGCTTCGCACCCCATATTACTATTATAACAAAACGACAACGTTTTATTGAAATTGACGGAAAGACAATTGAGTAATAAATAAAGGAACGATTTTTCATGGAAATATCGATACCCTGTATCTTGAAAACGAAGCAAGTTAGGACACATGTTCATATATAAACTTTATTTCCTAAAATATCGCAAGCAAATAACCCTTGAATTTTTCCGGAGTTATTCAGATACACCCTGTATAATCTTCTGCTCTGACTATGCTTTTTTTTCAGGAATACCATTCCACCATGCTCTATTCGGCAGTTCAGCAAGCGAAATGTCTCTGAATGCTCTAAAACACTGTCGAAGAAGGAAAGCCAGAACCGTTTTTAGTGATCCCCAATTAACAGGTTCGTATCTATATATACCTACAAAAATGTATTCAAACAAACTGGAAGTTAAAATTCTGAATATTTGAAATATCAGCCTAATAATATAGTAATAATTAACGCACAACGGACACAATATCCCAAATCAACGTTTATTATTTGAATGAAAATTTGATGCATTTATTTTCAATCAATTAGCAGGCTCCTCTTTGTTTACGTTGCTTAGCAACGCATGATTATCGCGATAATTTTGTTAGTTCCTATTTAGTTAATGGAATTAATAAGTGATAATTTTTCCCTCAGAAAAGAATCGCCTTATATCTATTGACAAAAGTCACTCACTTCAATATGAAACTATAATATGTAGACATGATGCAATATTAGATCTTATGGTTGAAAACGAATTGATGTTTTCAATGTTCCTGAAATTTTAGTAATAAACCTTAGTTACTAACAAGTAAAATCAACTACTATTGTAAAAATATAGTGCGTCATATTTAACCACCAGGTAGAGTATGATCCATGATTTGGACACCCTGGATATAAAAGAAATTTCCTTTTTTATACCATACAGGGTGGGCCACCAGTAACGCCTCGGTCTCTAGAAGGCTAACCACTTATCTTCTTGGAGTTCTTCCTCCCTAGGAAGTTGCATGTCAACATAGGCTACCATTTGAAATTATTTTGAAACATACAGGATGTCCCCAAAAATCACAAAACACTGAAGTTGAACTTTTTTCAATCGAACACCCTATATATTATTTCAATTTGAGATTCTCCCTGATGAGCTGATTTCAACGACCCATCATACTTGGGGTCTAGCAGTTATAATTACTGAAATATAGGGTGTGAGAAATCGAGATTTTCCAAGTTCAAGAATTTTTTGTGTCTAAATCATTTATAATTGGTCAAAACGGCTCACATGTCCCTATCTCAACTTTTGATCAACTATCTACTGACATTCAATTGAAACAAATACAGGGTGATGCAGAATTCAGAATCTTGATCACCTGGTATATGTCCCAATTAAATATCAGTAGATGATAGGGACATGTAAGCCGTTTTGACCAATTATGAATAGTTTCGACACAAAAAATTCTTGAACTTGGAAAATCTCGATTTTTCACACCCTATATTTCAGTAATTATAACAGCTAGACCCCAAGTATGAAGGGTCGTTGAAATCAGCTCATCAGGGAGAATCTCAAAATGAAATGATATATAGGGTGTTCGATAGAAAAAAGTTTAACTTCAGTGTTTTATGGTTTTTGGGGACACCCTGTATGTTTCGAAATAATTTTGAATGGTAGCCTATGTTGACATGCAACTTCCTAGAGAGGAAGAATTCCAAGAAGATAAGTGGTCTGCCTTCTAGAGACCGAGGCGTTACTGGTGGCCCACCCTGTATATTACCAATAGGTAATTCAAATGTTTCTTTGAGCTACCCACTTTAGAAACCTCACGCGTATTTGTTGTACTTAGGTATTCAGTGGATCATTTTATTTCTCATTTTGTTTACTGCTTTCTTCTCTCAGTTATTATACACAATATTCAAGATATTTTCTGAACGGGCAAATTGCCTTCATCATTCATTAATTAGGGCTTAATGAACTTCCTTTCTCTGTGTCTACATTATTCCTCGATGTCACTTCACTTATTTAAGGATGAACGTTCCATTGACTTTGGCCCTTATTGTGTTTAGTATAATATTGGTCTAATAATCATTGATGTTAACATAATTTGAATGATGCCATTTTCAATCTTCCACGATGGCATTTATTTCCAAAACTAACTCGACACTTTTCAGTTCTCATTGACAAATACAAATACGAATTTGCCATAAAAAAAATCCATTTTATATGTTTATCCAAAGATAAGTTAAAATTTGCTATTTTTTTCATATACCTACCTTTATTTCTCTTCTCCAAACCTTTTTAAATACAAATTGTCACTGACAAGCCAGTGGATTTTTAATTTAGGCTCTCTGATAGGAAAATTCTTTAAACGCAGTGACATTTCATCATCATCTGATTTTTCTTAACTATACGTATATTGAAATAGTGTGCTGGTGTTCCACAAGGATCCATTCTAGCACCAACACTATTTCTACTCCATATCAACGATTTGTTGGAAGCAACTTCATGTCCAGTATATACACAGCTTCGCGGATGATAGTACCCTCCATACCGCATTCTCTTCCACGGCTCCAATTCCAGCCAGGCAAATCAAAAATGAACGAGGGAGAAATGCTGACAACATAAATATGGACTTGGCGACGATTCTCGAATGGGGATCCAATAACTTGGTAGATTTCAATGCAAACAAAACATAAGCATGCCTTTTCTCTAGAAACGCCGATCTCACTGTGCCCAACATAAGCTTGTCAGGAGAAACCATATACCTTTGAAGACATCCATTTCGATGCTTGGTATATTGTAGATTGTAGATTGTAAATGGTTCGTATAGGCTGGGAGACCTCTCGATCACTGCGACCTAGATCTATTGTGATTACCCCTATCTAGTTTTGGTCCTCTTACCCTAGACTTCTGATGAAGCCAACGATTTTCCTGACGGTTGAATTTTCCACTCCAGCAGGGGTAAGATCGACCTGTTCTAGGTGGTTCAGCCTTTGGCGGACTAATACTTCACATGAGCAAAGTATGTGTTCCGCGGTTTCGGTCGCATTGTTACAAAAGTGGCAAGTGTCAGTCTCCGCCAGGCCCATCTTTTTGGGGTGGTACCTCAGAGGGCCGTGCCCTGTGAGAAAGCCTGTGATAAGCTTTAGCTCTGGTTTGCTGAGGCTGAGTAGCTCTTTGGCTCGGTTCTGCGAATGGTTGATGAACCATTTCGCTTGTCGTTGACCTGGATTTGCTCTCCAGTAGGAGGACTTTTCAATTTCTTCCCATTTCCTGAGTTCTCCCTTTAGGTGACATTTGCTTATCCCAATGCTTGGTATTACTATCAGCAATAACCTTTCTTTAGAAAATCACGTGAGATCAATTGCTAAAAGTGTATCCCAAAAACTTGGTTTTCTGTTTCGTGCCAGGAGCTATTTCACTTCCAGTCAGCTGCTTTTATGATCTATAAGGCACAGATCCGACCTGTCCTGGAATACTGTTCCCATATTTGGAGTGCAGCACCGAAACATACCCTGAAACTGTTGGATTCTGTCCAAACAAGGTTAATTCGTCTCGTGGGTGATGCCTCGCTCACAAACTCACTCACTTCTCTGGAACACCGTAGACAAGTTGGCGATCTGGCTCTATTTTGAAGATATTTTCATGGACGATGCTCTTCTGAAATATCAACAATTGTTCCTCCCTTGGCAGTCCCCGCGAGATTAATCCGTCATGTTGAGGCTTCGCACCCCTTCGTGGTCACTTTGGAGACCTGCAGAACATCTATTTCCAAAGACTCGTTCATCCAACGAACAGCGAGGCTCTGGAACAACTTTGCCAACGGAGGTGTTCCCCGAGGCAGATAACCTCCAGTTTAAGAAGAACGCCAATTCCTACCTTATTTTCCTTAGTTCTCATGATGTTCTCTAAACATTACAGGATATATCCCTTTTCGTGGAAACCAGAACATAAAAAAAAAAAGTATTCATATTCTTGTATTATAGAGAGGAGGAGAGAATGTCCCAAAAATGTATATAACTTCTCAAGTTAATTTCCAATACGGTACCTCAGAAATGAAATTTAAGGGAACAGACCCCTTTTCTGAACAGACAGTAGAAATCTATAGAATCAATATCATTTTGGAAAAACTTATTTCAGGTTTGGAAAAACGGTTTTCAGCTCAAAGGTATCTCTCAACGCCAGAACGTGTTGAATTGGCCACCGCCTTGAGTCTCAGCGAGACTCAGGTGAAGACATGGTTTCAGAATCGAAGGATGAAGCATAAAAAACAGTTGAGGAAGGTGCAAGAAGAAAAATCTACTTCTTCTTTGAAGCTGCGAGTAGGTGCACCAGAAAAATTGGGTGAGTTACACATTTATATATTATTATTATTCTTATTATTATACAGGATTGTATTGGTATTGGTATTGGTAGGTTGGATGGTGACAGATGCGCTGCGACCCAATTAGATCTATTGTGCCCCATTTGCTCCTGCTATATCAAGCATAGCATAGCAGCCCCTCGAGATTCAATTCCTTCAGGAATTTGAGGATTTTGAGGGGGTCTAGCTGTGGTATTTCTTCCAGAGTCAGCTGGTGTGTTCCCAGTATGTTCAATCTTTTGTGATGTACAGCGTCACACTCCATCAGTATGTGATGGGGTGTTTCTGGTTCTTCCTCACAGAATCTGCAGGTGCCGTCCTCCTGTAAGCCTAGCTTCCTCAGGTGTTCTTTGAGTCTGCAATGCCCCGTTAGAAATCCTGTTACTGCTTTGAGACTTCCTTTGCTGAGGTTTGTCAGTGTCTTAGATCTTTCTCGGTTGAAATTTCCAAGGAGATCTTTAGCCTGCCGTATAGTCCTGGAAGTCTTCTCCATTGTCTGGCTCTCCAGGCTCCTTCCGCCTTCTCAAGTTCTCCTTGGAAATAGGAATTTCCAAGGCCGCAGAATAGCTCTGGTCCGATCAGTGGCATTATACAGGATAGGGCATTAGTGCGTCGGAGCTCGATTGTTGAATATATTGCGATATTTTCAATGTTATTAATTTTTTTCGTCAAAATAATGTCATCTGCAGATGCATACCGGAAAAATCACTGTAGTCACAATTATGAAATTCAAGAGAGAATAATCATAATATCATTTTTTGTATGTTCTGGTCATATTCTGTAATGTTCAGAGAACATCGTGAGAACCAAGGGAAATAAGGTAGGAGTTGGTGTTCTTCTTAAATTTCTGAAGGTTATATGCCTCGTGGAACACCTCCCTTGGCAATGTGTTCCAGAGCCTCGCTGTTCGTTGGATGAACGAGTCTTTGAAAAGAGATGTTCTGCAGGTCTCCAAAGTGACCACGAAGGGGTGCGAAGCGTCAACTCGACGGGTTAATCTCGCGGGGACTGCCAAGGGAGGAACAATTGTTGTTATTTCAGAAGAGCATCGTCCATGAAAATATCTATAAAATAGAGCCAGATCGCTAACTTTTCTACGGTGTTCCAGAGAAATGAGTGAGTTTGTGAGCGAGGCATCACCTACGAGACGAACTGCCCTTTTTTGGACAGAATCCAACAGTTTCAGGGTATGTTTGGGTGCTGCACTCCAAATATGGGAAAATTATTCCAGGACAGGTCGGATCTGTGCCTTATAGATCATAAGCAGCTGACTGGAAGAGAAATAGCTCCTGGCCCGAAACAGAAGTTTTTGGAATGCACTTTTAGCAATTGACCTCACGTGATTTTCTTAAGAAAGGTTATTGCTGATATAGTAATACCAAGCATCGAAATGGATGTCTTCGAAGGAATGGTTACTCCTGAAAAGCTTATGTTGGGCACAGTGAGATCGGCTTTTCTAGAGAAAAGGCATGCTTCTGTTCTGTTTGCATTGAAATCTACCAAGTTATTGGATTCCCATTCGAGAATTGTTGCCAAGTCCATATTTATGTTGTCAACATTTCTTCCTCGTACGTTTCTGATTCGCCTGGCTGATATTGGAGCCCTGGAAGAGAAGGCGGTATAGAGGGTACTATCATCCGCGAACTTGTGTACTCCAAGAAATCGTTTGAGGCGGCAAGCCATAAGATGGAAGCTTGGCGAGGAGTCCGTGGTGCCAGACTCGATCGAATGCCTTGGAGATATCACATGCTACGGCAGACGTAAGCGAGCAGGTGATGGAAAGATGCGTGATATTTCTGTAGAATTTTCATGGCCTCAAATTATACAGGGTGGCTAAAAATGATTTTTCAATTCGGAACTTTTGGAAGTGATTTTTCTCGAGTTTTTCAAATGGAACACCCCATTTATGTTTTAGTCATTTGGTGTAAAATCGAAACACGAACATCATTCATCTCAACATTCATATTGATATTCGTGACCATTTTTCAATTATTGAACTTCGAAAATTATAGGTTGGTCATTTTCATCGATACACATTCTCATCAGTTATTGAAACATCAAAAGTCTAATTAATAATTTAGTAATAGTTATTTATTATACAAGGGAAAAAAGTAGTAGATTTTAGCTCCAGGTTGTGTTGTCTACCGACACGTAGCGGAGGGAGACAAAAAACCGTGAGCTAAAATCTAATATTTTTCCCGTGTATAATACAATTTCTTTTTCTGTGGCAGCAGAAAGGACGAATCAATATTGAGAAGATATTACATTATTTTGAAATCTGTTTCTAACAGTAGGGACACCTGCGTTGTAGGCATCTTTATCATTCTTTTGAAGTAATCAAATATCTGATGTCACTTCTGTCAGTCCAATTCTGTGATTTGATTTAAAAAACTGCGAATTTAGTGGTTTTTTAGTAATATACGTAACCGCGAAGTCGAATGGAAGATAAAAGGACTTGCAGTTCTTTCTCGGAGACGGTATTATTGACTCATTTTTCGGAACTATAGCACAACAAAATGTGATATGTTTCCGGGTAAAAAGTACTCACTTTTTTCCCACGGGAAACAAGTTATTTATGAAAAGTGACATTTTATAACCCGCCAACAGAGATGAAATGCCAAACGTCACAGAAAAAAACTTGTTTTTTTATTGAAATAATTGAAACCAGAATTAAAGCAGACATCATATATAGTTCATATATGCTATAGTAATTTACAAAGTAAAGAAGAAAAAAAACATTTTTAAAATATAGCTCATCAAAAACAGAGTGATAATTCACAATTATGCAAAATGGGAATTTTGTTTTTCTTTTACTGTTTTCAAACTCAATAATTTTGAAACAGAATAAAAATATGTTGACGTACGTGAGTGAAACACTCGTGAGGGAGTCGTTAATCTATGACTCGTGCAAAGAAAAACAGCAAGATCGAGTTAATTTATGAAAGATAAATGAATGTATTTTTCAATATGAAATGTGTACTTACCCACCTATTTACCTGCCTTCCTGCTTACCTTCGAAAATATGCTAAATCGAAATGAGAATATTATTTTCTAGTCGCGGGAGATTAAAAATACCCTAGAGTTACGACGGTATACTTACTTAATGCAATTTTAATGATGTCCCCAAAGATTTCTCGAGTCCCAAAGATACGCTTTGCCTCGTTGACATGAGTTCCTCTAAGAGGATTTCTCCCCAATCACTTTTCACGACGATTAACTGGTAATTTGATACGATTATTACCAATGATTTGGTTAATACCCTGTGATTGATCGCAGCATCATTATTTTATATCTCGCATGTAAGCGGTCGTGCATCATCCCTACACTAAACGGAAGGGTAGAAGTGCCACGAGTTTTTTGTCTTCTGTCTCAAAATTTCTACTTTCATATCGAATTTTCGACTTACATTTCAGAATTACAAGGCAATACATCTTCTCATCCTATTAAAATTTGAAAAATGATTGAATGAAATTAATGATACAATATTTGAAAAGAATACCGAACGATGTATTTTCATATCTGGAAGATTTTGATGATTGATATCAAAAATTGAATTTGGCCAATGTTCTATGAGGTTTGATAACCATTTAGGACCATGCCACCATAATTATGAATGTTCATCAACTGCACAGGACTAATACCTCTATAGATAGAGCGTCAGAGTAGGATTTTCCTTTGATCTGATGTGATTCCAGCACATGATAGTGGTATTGGATTGTATTTCAGATACTCTATTCTTACATATATTCTGTTGATTTTGCAAAAATTTTTTCAATTTGACAAAAATCAAATCTTTTTTTTTTTCTGTGTAGAATGACCGTTTCAAACCGGTGGAAACTGAGAGCGTCGTTCTTAAAAGTGTGCTTCAAGCGGTCTATCTCTCGAGTCCCGATCCAAATCAATGTGTTAATGATCTAAGGTTACAAACAGTATTCGAATCTGACCGAAATCAATTTGACAGTCCTACAGAAGGTAATTTTTTTTCTTCCCGTGGGAGTAAATTGCCTGCTTGGTGTCCTTAAATGAGGGAGCAAACGCTTACTTTTGATGCAGTGAGTAGATAAAAATATACTTATACTTACACGGAAAAAAATTATTTGTTGCATCAACAAATTATTTATACTTGAATTATTCTTGTTGGACTGAGCAATTTTTTGATGAATCAAACAGATACAGGATTATTTCATGGAAGCAGCTTGTTCAAATAATGAATGTAGTTTAATTGATTTAACATATAATATCAATACCATCAACTGAATATATGGTTATCTCAAAAACGAATTATGTCGATTCATAATAATATTGATATCGATGCAACTATAAACATTTTGTTGATGTGATGAAATGATGATTATTTTTATAAGAATATATCTTTGAAACAACATACAAGTTTTCACATGCATTACGATGTAGCAATGACTAGAAGTCGACTAGTCTCCTAGTTGAGTTTATGCTATTGATGGGAAGTTTCAGATAATTCCCGAATTAATACTGAATTTGGTTCATTTTGTCGAATGGAAATACAGTTTCTATTGAATCAACGGAATATTGAAATGGATCAACAAATTTTTTCATTGAATCATCCAAATATTTCATTGATTCAACCAAATAATTCATTGAATCGTCCAAATATTCCATACTGAATCAACCAAATATCAACTAAATATCTGATTGAATCAATATCTTGTTGATGTGCTTCATTGAATAAGATCCAGAGTTCATGCAAGACATATTTCCTTGATTCATACTTATAATTCGCTCTGAAACAAGATATATATTTACTCATTTCAAGATTATATTTTGTCGTGCATATATGACACTTTTGTATTTGCTTCATTCAATTCAATGTTGCTTGATTCAACAATTACTTTTTTCCGTGTACTTACACCTACCCAAAAACATATAAGTAGGTACCTACTTATATTCCATTCCAAATTCGGTGCACATTTTCTAATAACTTTTTTCAACTTTCGTAGCTCTGAATGATCAATAATAATTGATGATGATGATGATAACGATGACTTGAACGTCGAGGGAGGAAGTTCGCCTTATTTTCTGAGACGACTGTACCCAATCTTAAACATCAATTAAGGCAAGTTCACAGAACTTAATGAACTAAATTATGACAAGATGGCGGGTATGAGCTCCAGGATATTTTCCACTTAGAAACAAAATTAGCGAAGTTGACGGTGTTTCCCTCTCACACCTCTTCCCCCTCATTTTCCTTATAGCGGGAATCTTAGTCCATTTAGGGTTGTGAAACAGGTAATTGCTCGACAGGGGTGGATTTATATATTATGTGCTCTCACATTGGAATCAATATTTGTCAAAATAAGTAGATGAATATATTGTGTATAGAAAATATGATACTTACTTCCGATAACTGCCTATAGGAACCTCTCAATTCCAAATTATACAATTTTTCATCAAATATTCTATTACAAATTTAAAAAAATAACTTGAATTGGTGCACCCCTCCTGAAAATGAATCAGTGTAGACTCTAGATATTTCAAAAATGTCTATCAGAAGCATAAATCCAAGATACCTAGATAAAATGGGTGTCCTGTCTGAGTTACAGTGTGTTTTATTTGAAAATTCAAAGGTTATTATATACCATCAGAGGTGTACGATAGGGGCGATACCTGAGTGACTGGTTGATCCTTCCCAAATTCTACACCATTGACGGAATCGCCATTTTTTCACAATTTTTCGATTCTCCTTTTCGAACTATTCCGAAAGAATTCACGCTTCACGCAGCCAGTTTTGGCAGCCATGTTCACAGTTCAGCTTGGTTCAGCAGTAGTATCAGAAGCTGTTTTTGTGATATTATCAAGTTAAAAATCTGTTGGGAACTTTATCTCTATTTGCTATGAATATTCATTGGGTAGGTAATTGATTTATGATGAGCCTCTATTTCACAAACATATGTTATATTTCCTATAAATACCAGCTTAATACATGAAAAAGATAATGATAGCAGATATTTAGGGCTAGTGTTGGTAATATAGCTAGTACATATATACAGCGTGTCTCACTTTTAAACGGCCCCCCTCTATATCTCAGTTATTAGTCATGCGATTCCAACGAAATTTGGTGTGGTATGAATAACCATCAATATGATCAGTTTTACAGAGATGCACATTATTTTGGATAGTGCCGTGCGTTTTTATTGCACTAAAAAGGGGTCAATTTTTCATAAAATCATATTAGGTATTTTTTTACAGGAAATCTAACCTCATATTATTATTGTTCCTCATGCTTTCCAACCTCCATATGCAAGAAATCACCTGATTTTGAATTAACAGGATTTTCAATCTCGAATAAATAGTGACTTCAAATCAACTACGAATTTTGGAACGTTCAGTGGCTCCGGTAGGTGGAAATTCATGATTTGGAAGGAAAAACGAGTTTTACTTTTTTATGTTGAACTCACCGTTTCCGAGTAAATAATTATTACGTTCGAAAAAATGCTGTTTATATATGTGCCTGTTTTTCTCTGAAACCCTTCATAGGCATCTTATGAAAATCCACATATTATTTGGTAAAGATCGCACGACTGATAGCTGATGAGATATATAATAGAGGAGGGTCGTTTGAAATGAGACACCTGGAGACACGCTGTATACCTGTATATTGAAAAAATAAACCCCTGGTGCACTTACTCTTTATTTGTTTCGTCAGACTGGTTCTTGATATAACCAATTGAATTTCAGACGATGACGTGGGGTTCACATATTGAATGTTAGATGGCGTGATTTTTGAAACTTATGTTCAACATCAGTTCTACCAACCTTGATGCGGCTAAATCGCAAAACCAATCTTCATTGATCACAATTCGGTCAAAATTATCACATTGATACCTGTAATTTTGGTACGGCACCAGACTAAACTTGGCGAGATTCACCCACGCCATGTTATATGTTTGTAAATCGTTAATAGTCTTTTTATCAATTTTTTTATAGATTTCTTGCAAAATTGAACTCGATTACGAATCCAATTATTGTTTCAGGTGTTCCTCATGGAATAACGTCGATGGTTCAGGAAAAGTCGCCGGCAGCCAGCAATTCCGGTTTGTCCGTTACCAATTCTGACGTCAGCGATTGTGAAAGCGACATTGACATCGTCGGAGACAGCAAGCAGCACAACTTTGGCTACAAAATGACATAAAAATGGATTTTTTGTGTTCGTAAACGTTTAAAACGAAAATTTGTTGGCTCCAGGTCAAAAGGAAGATTTGGAAAATATTGTTATATTTTGTGTGTAGATATATACTTGTGGATAGATAGAATTATGATCAGTCTAGTCATATTTATCTATATAAAACCCACCTATTTGTTGTTCGTTTGTTTATTAGTCTTAATAATATATTTAAGTATACATAGTCAACGATGTCGTGTTTCATTCGTTACCTTCTCTCTTACTTTTTGATTTTTTGGATCGCACGAAATGCAATTCCTATTAAGTTTGTTATATGTTCGTGGAACATCGTCTCATAGATAGGGAAATACGTTAGTTATTTGACTTTTTTGAACTCATGGTAGTTTAGTTTTTGGCGTGCTCGAAAGACTAGAAGACTAGCATCCTCGCCTCGCTGGTTAGTTTGTTTGTGGTTCGAATATTGAATTTTCATTCGAATTTAAGTAAGAACTTTAACCTATGACAGTTACGCCACTGATTGGGATCATCGTGAATCGTGGTCATTGCATGTCCACATTGCACACACGGCTGTATTGTTGGTTGCATAGTCCCATCTTACCGAAATGTCCAGTGACACGAGTGTCAAGACTGTCAAGTGTCAGTAAAGGAGATTCGGACATCTGACATCATTGACATTGACATCTGATACAAAAATAAATAATGTTAATAATGGCTAGATGATTATATGAAAATGTTCAGATTTTCTTTTATATTTTTAGTTTTAACCATATTAATCGGTGCAAAATGTAAGTCTATAAGTTCTTATTTCTCACCCTGAAATCATCAGAAATCTACTTGCTTCATTCCTCATGGATTATAAGGTTATGTCTGTTATTAGAAGGATCTAATTATATTTTCCAGGTGAATTACATTTACAAATAATCAAAAACTATAATGACTTTCTCACCCCCGTGACTGATATAGTCGAAGAAAAAGCTGGAACATCATTCTCATTAATTTGTGAGCTCATTGTTTCCAATGACAGCAAAAATTTCCTGGATGACAATCTAATGTGGATGAAAGAAGAGAATGTCTCAAATCAGACCAGGTAATGATTTTGTATCAAGTAACAAATACATCATATGGCTTACCATTGTTTTATTCTGCTATAATTTTCCTAATTAACAACCTGAAACTGTTGCATTGCCATTGTGAGCTTATATCCCTATCATAGCATTATGTAGCATGCTGATTCTTCTAATGGTTCTCATAAATTCCAGGTTCAAAACAATTCTCCAAAGCATTCAGGGCATCAACAAATTGGAAAAAAAATTCATTCCTCTGCTAGTAGGTGATAATGGGAACCATTACTGTGTTAGTAGAAAGTTCAACTTGTCTAAGAAAGTTTTCATTAAAACAATTGATAATAATCGCAGAAATGATGTCAGATCATTGAGAGAAACAATTTTCTGTAATGAACTGATGTTTCAATGTGTTTCAAATGGGCTCTGTATCATACCCCACTATGTCTGTGATGGAAAGCCTGACTGTAAAGACTCATCTGATGAATCTCTGGAGCTATGTAATGGTGACCCTTGTAAAGGTAATTGTTATATGATCTAATATCCTCACTGTTTTTAAAGCTACAATAACTGGCCTAATTTTCAAAATGAAAATAGTCAATTATCATTTACACAGCCACTTGTGTTATTTCTATCCCAAATGAAAAACCTGAGTTGTGAGAATTAATAATGTTTTCTAACTTCCTGATTCATGAATCATACATATATCAAGTTTGGAGGTAAAACAACTTTCTTTGATTACTCCATGTTATGAGTAGTAACTATGCTTATACACTACTCACTACTCAATTTCAATTCATAAATATGCTAATTGACATTATACTGACCTTCATTTCTTTTCTGCTTTTTTCATTCTTTTCAACTTATTTCTCAATATATTTGACATCATTGAAGAAACAAAAATAGATTCAATTTCTCAAATGAACTCAAACATGTTTTGCATATTTTTGAATATTATAGATATGAATAAAAGAGGTGTTTGGGAATGGGGACATCTTCACAATTATTGTTTCTTCTACAAAATATAATACATATTATTCAAATTTATGCCCACTCTCAGAATCTAAATAAATAAATAAATATAGAAGCACATTAGAAGAAAATAATTTAAATGTTGACCATTTCTGCTCCGATTTTTCACACTATTTTGCATCATTAGGAACCCCTTCCATAATATAGATTTCACTGGTGTTAGATAACAGGTTTTGGATGGATTATATTGCCTCAATCAATATGTTTAGCAAACTATAGTATATAAATTGTATATATCTTTTTAGATAAGATTCCTTGTGATGATGGAAGATGTATTCCAAGCAGTTGGTGTTGTGATAGCCATCATGACATGAATTGTTCAGTCACAAATAGGCCTAAGTGCTGTCAAGTGTTGATTATACCAGAATGTGAGATTTTTCAGATGTTTTTGACAATTGCAAAATGACAAGATTTCATTTTTTTGTAGCTTATGAAGATTTTGAGTATCCTAACGTGAATCATATCCAGCACAGTGGTACAAGATATCTGTTCATTTCAGTATGTAAGTATCTATTTATTGAAAACTAACTAAATATGATGATGCTGATTATCATGTTGCATAATATGGATAGACTAATCTTCAGGATTTTATCATATTCATTCATTAATTAATTTTGTAGAAATGTATCATTTATGGTAAAACTTTTGGAAACTGAGTACTGGCAATATTTTCAGGATTCTCATTTTTTTGGAACAATTGATGATTTTTAAATGACGAAAATCTTTAATTATTTCTTCATGGATCAAATAAGGTAGGTATTAACACTATTTTTCAATACATGAGAAAATATTGATGAAGTTGGTGACTATATGGTGACTGTGAAATGGGTCATTATAGATCCTGGTGTAACATGAAAAAACAAGAGGATTTCTAGAATTTTTGACAATCTCCAAATTATAACTTTTTGAATGAAGAATCGCAAAGCTTTCTATTTGTATAATTTCAACTTGTTTAAGAACAAATACAATGAATACATCTCAAACAAGATGAAGCCTGTCTTCTATCATGAACATGTTAGCTTCCTGAGCACACTCCGATAAGAATCCTGTGATGACTTCACTAGATTAGATTACATTTAGAATGGGACCTTCGGGCTATCTGCCTCCACACCGCGACCTTTTCAGATCTATTGTGTCTTCCCTCAAAAGCGATTAGAGTTCTTCGGCTAGCCCCGCCTTCTCTATGAGTCTCCATAGGCTAGCTTTCAGATCCCCTGTGTATCTTTGGGCTTCTGGTTTTTCCTCACCCAGCGTAAGGAACCTTAGTCTTGACAAGCCCTCACAGTGGCAAAGTATGTGTACTGCTGTTTCCTCCTCTTCTTGACCGAACCTGCACAGCAGTTCTTCAGTCAGACCTATCATACTCATGTGTTTGTTGAGCCTACAATGCCCTGTGAGAAGTCCCACTAGTATTTTAGTTGAACTTCGTTTCTGGCTCAGTAGATATTCTGTGAATGTTGGCGATGGTTTTTTAATAAACTCCTTTGCCTGTCTCATTCCTGCCGAGATGCTCCACCATTCTTGAGATTTAGTTTGCATCCATGATTTGATACTAGTCTTTCGTATGGCTTTCGCAATACCACAGAAGGGTTCTGAGCCATTCAGAGCTTTGTTTGCTCCTGCTCGGGCAAGTGAGTCTGCCTCTTCATTGCCCTCGTACCCTGTATGTGCTGGTATCCATGCTAGAGTCAGTCTGTTCTGACTGCCCAGTTCATTTAGGTTTTCTAAGCAGTCCTATACCAGTTTTGAGTTAACTTGCATAGAGTTGACTGCTTCGATTGCCGCCTGGCTATCTGAATAGATTGCAATGGTTTTGCCTTAAAACTCTTGCCTTATCAATTCTTTCACGCAATGATGTATTGCAATAATTTCTGCCTGAAACACCATCGCGTATTTACCTAAGCTCAGTGAGATTCTTGTCTTTGGCTTGGCCCCATAAATACCAGCTCCTGATCATTCCTCAGTTCTGGAGCCGTCCGTATAGACAGCAATGTCTGCACTGATAGGAGGTCCTTCCTTTCATGCCTCTTTGTCCGTTATACTCATTTCAAAAGTTTTTTCAAAGCTATATTTTGGAATTATGCCATCCGTTGGCATTCCCATGATGGGGTCGCTTTCCAACTCTTCATATAGCTTCCTATATTCTTTACCGTGCGCGATAACTTCCCTTCGCTCTGATGAATATGGTTCATCTTGTAAGTGGAATAATCAAGGTTAGTATATATATTATATTACACAGGCATCGTCAGCATCCTCTTCTCCATCGTCCTGCTGCTGCTCATCATCTCCAAGGTGATGATCTTCGCGAGGAAGACGGCGTTGCGGCAACAGCACCAATCGCTGTGCGAGAACATCGCACTGCGCAATCGCACCGACGTCAACGTCATCGGAGCGGATTTCCGTCCATCGAATGTCTATACGGTCCGGTCCAATTCGCGCACGCCCAGATTGGATGTGATCATAGGTAGGCGGGTGAAGGGGGGGGACTCGAAATTTTGTAAGATCTCTTTTAACGCCTATGAATGTGACGTCATTGCAATGTCATGCCAGGGACGCCCATACACGAAACCAAAGTCACTAGATGATTGAAAGAGAAAGGGGCTATGATCTGTCCGTATCCTGTTAGATGACAAATACGTCAGTTTGTATCAAGAGACCCTAGCCTGTGGTATTGTGTCTAGAACGTGAAAGTATCCCAGCAAACACGACATTGATCGATGGCATACAGATGGCACTATGATTCGGTGATGAAAAAATAGTATTTCATTGCTGTTTCTGTCATATAATACGGATGTTGCACTTGCGTTGTGCTGGTACAATAGTATATTGTTTAACGAGCACGGAATGACAGTGATTTCCTACGAGAACGGAGTTTGCAGCATGAGCCATTGGCATGATTTATGAATGAATCGCGGTGTCTATCTATTGTTATTTAGTCTTAGTCTAATATTACGGCACGTGAGAGTTAATTTACTGATGGAAATTCAAACATTTATTGAAATCCTCATCTATTAGATATAAAGAATATCTTTAAAGAAATTAATTATCTGGCAGTGATTCCGCATAGTTATCCCCACCATTCGGGATTCCATTCACTTATCCGTGTTTGGCGTATACTTTTTAATGGTTTATGAATGAATCGCGGTTTCTGTCTAAATACTAAGTGTCATCTCTCTTTCATCTAGATGCCTCGAAGGTGAGCGACCCTCTATCTGCAAATAATATACCGGATGGCTACGGAAGTATTGCCTACGGAATATCTCAGTTATTGTATGAAGTAGGTTTGTGAAATTTGGAGACATAAGAGCTAGAATTTGAGCATATTGACATGTCAAAGTTAACTTCCGGTCTGACCGGAAGTAACATCAACTTCCTTATTTTGAATGCAAACCCTATTTTTTTTTCTTTCCACTTTATTCAGCATTCAATTCCCTTTCGAATGACATATCACAAGTTGGTATCTAACCAGAAACTAGATCAGAAAAAAATTATTATTGAAATTCACCGAGTAGGCCGTGGAAGCAAAATGAAAGCCAAAAATTAAAAAGTTGGCTATGGAAACCATACGTCACTTGATAACAGTTGCTTCTACTGTGATATTTTATTTTCATTCGTCGGCGTTATAAAAAGCCGCCAAAAAAAATATTGGAAAAATTGGGAAAAAAACAATACTCTGTAGGTCCATAACTTAAATAGGAACATACAACTTTTTCTTGCCTGTACTATTCAGCATAACCATTCCTTTCTAATGATATAATAGAAAGTCATTTTTTGAAATGAAATACGCTTCCATGGCCTACTCGGTGAATTTCAATAATAATTTTTTTCTGATCTAGTTTCTGGTTAGCTACCAACTTGTAATATGTCATTAGAAGGGGAATTGAATTCTGAATAAAGCGAAAAGAAAAAAATATAGGGTTTCCATTTAAAATAAGAAAGTTAATGTTACTTCCGGTCAGACCGGAAGTTAACTTCGACATGTCAATATGCTCAATTTCTAGCTCTTATGTCATTATCTCGACGCTCCAAATTTCACAAACCTACTTCATACAATAACTGAGATATTCCGTAGGCAATACTTCCGTAGCCACCCGGTATATCAATTCTCTAGCAAGGAATCTGCAGAGTTATCCACACCATTCGCGATGTCATTCATTCATCCGTGTTTGGCATATAGTTTTAGATGATGAATCGCGGTGTCTGTCTAGAGACTAAGCTGTGTCATCTCTCTTCCATCTAGATGCCTCGGAGGTGAACGACCCTCTGTTGTTTCCCCCCTGCCGGTTCGGGACGGGAAGCGAGGCCGAGTACGGCGATCGGCCGCCTTCGTACGTCGACGTGCTCAGGAGCAAGCTGATCAGCGAGCCGCCTCCACCTTACACGAGCAACGAGATGCTCGACGACCATAGGGGGTTGCCCGTGGGTAAATGAGTATTTCGAGGGAAGTGCACTGAATAGAAGTTGAGATTGGAATGACTGCCCGCTATTTGGTTTTATGCCCACAAGCCGTTACCATCGAGATTAGAAGGTCAGAAGACTCTAACGTAAAGAGCTCGTGACGTCACCTAAGAGATGCCAGTGATTTACCGCTTGTCGACTAACGAACGCGTCAGTTCGTGTTAAGTCATCGGTGATTCACGTTTCGAAGCGGTCCCGAATTCTTTTGTTGTTTATTCATCAAAATAATTGGCGGAAAATTTACTGTTGTATTCCCTTTTGCCGGGGGAATTATGTGGGTATTCCAAAAGTTCGTGCTTTTAGTTTCCCGTTGGACAAGGAACTATCGAAAAAGTGGGTATATGCAATTCACCGCGAGGATTTTACCCCATCTAAATACAGTAGTGAACAGAGCATAATTTATAATGATGAATTGATAATAGAAGACAATTACTCTCTCATAAAAAGTATGAGTAGAGGAAAAAGAAAAAAGCTTTGATTGTGCAGTTAATTTTGTATTCGTATATTATATTCAACAAAATCATCTCTGAATTCGAGGAAATTTTCTTAAATGTTCATAATAAACGGGCATTTCTACTCAATACATTCTCAAATTTCTTTCTGAAAACGGTCATTTGCCTCGTGGCAATGAATGCAGAATTCATTCCAATGATCAAATTGCAACTATCATATTAACATGAACTACAAACACTCTACTTGAAAATTACTGTTTCAAGTCTAACGATCAATTATTGGGTAAAAAATCTTACCACAGGAGATTGAAAACACTCACTGGCTAATTTTTTAGGTAAAAGGAATTCTCCGAGATAAATATAGGTATCAAAATAAAATACATTTTCCACAATTTTCTTTCGATCAATCTCACGATAAGTTTATGTTCTGTGGGCCCTGTATAAGTAGGTTTTTTATTCTGGTTTTTGCTTTGAAACTTCGTTTTTCCATAATAAAATCGAATGGGATGCGAAGAAGGGCTAAGTTGACGACTGGCAACCTTTTTAAACCGGAAGCCCTTCAAAGAAACAGCAAAATCGTCTCAATAATGATCTAAAATTAAAATTGAAATACGCGGTCGCCTTATAGCGCCATAAGCGCTTGTCGTTTCGAGCTGCTGGTTAGGCCTCACTAAGGTGACGTCACCACGGAAGCATGCAGGCCTTATTGTCTCGATGGTAATGCACAAGCCAAGGTGGATAGAATAAGGTGTAATCACAGACAGTGTTTTGTTTCTCCCAAAAAGCTTGAAAACGGCGCTTACACACCGCTTGCACCAGAAATAATATCATAACATAACCTCAAATCAAATTAGATTAAATTTCAAAGTATGAAACTGTAATTTTGGGGGATTTCAATTATCAGTTCTACCAACCTTGAATTTCGGTTGAGATTTCGACATCTAACGGGTGCAATGCGACCTATTTTCCGCGATATTGAAAAGATTCCTTCTGTCAAGTAGGCCGTAGGTCGAGAACTTTGACCGAAAAACAGTAGATGGGATTTGATAGGAGATTCTACACCATATTCTGTTCATCCTGCCACAAGCATTATTGAATGACCGTGTCTCGAACCACGCTAACGTGGATCTTATTTTCAGAATTCCTCTACGCTACGAATAATCCATGCTAAAGTAAATATGAATGATTAGAGTAGGTATCAGAAGAATGGTCATGATTTTGAATTAGGCGCCATTATTTATTTCATCAGTGTGAAGATTCCTTCAGATGAAGCTACTGTTTTCTTATTTGGAACGTAGTATAGTAGTCATATATCAGCATCTGGATAATCAAGGGTAATTTGCTCGCCTGAAAACGTCTCTGCTCAATGTGCAGATACCCTCGAATTGCCGTTCATGACAGCGAGCGATGTTTCTTGGTGTTCGGAAACATGAGTAATAGTGAATAAGATATACAGGATTCATCTTCATCATTCAGATCTCGTGAGTGGCGCACCTTGTTTCTTATGGCAGTATTGGTCTATGTAGTTAATGTATAAATAAAATGAGATCAAGCGTAATGTTTAGATAAATGAAGTAATCTGTTTTTGATGTGTCGATATTATAATATACACAGTGAATTGTTTATATTATAATGTCTAATTGTGGGATATTCTGCGATTTATTGTTGATCATTTTTATTAGATCGATAATCGCTGTTTCCATTAAATTAGGTATTTCCAATATTTGATACAATAATTTAATATACTGGGGTATTAGAAGAGAAAAGGGGATAATTGGACGATGGAAAACAGTGATTTCTGCGGGCGGTCATGACTATATTTCAGAGGTGTACATAAGCGCATTAGGTACTATATTCGTGAAAAACTGGCATGATATATGTTTAGATATCATATCAGGGAACTTAAGGCAGCTAAAGCTAAACAAATTTCATGCCATGGAATTTGATTAGATTTTGAATCAAGTGACAAGGGATGGAATTAAAGTTGGTGGCCGAAGTGATGGGTAACCCCCAGTGGCAATTTAAAAGAAGTGAGTACCACTTCCGATCATAATTATACATTATGGCATGTGAATAATTCTTCCATAGCTCAAGATATAAATGAATATGGAAAATAAAGTTCTAATGTAGTAGATAAAGAACTAAATTTTCAAACAATTCTGTTAGTTCATACGATACATATCTGAAGCAAGTTAACATATCACTATCATCACTTAGTGCATTTCGAAAATATCCCTAAAGTGTTTATTGCTATATTGAAATTTTGGTAATATGAAATCATTATCGACTGAAAGAAAAATCTAGCTAGTGATTTATTTGTCTGTTCTGAAATGTTCTTCGAAGGTCAGATTAAGAAAAGTCAAGACCTGGATGAAGTCTACAATGATCGAAAGTCGACTCTACTTGAAGGCGAAACTTCAATAAGTGTTGTCGGACGAAAAAATCCTTGAATAATAATGATTTCTACATAATTATGTAGGTCTAATAAGGAAATAATAAATTACATACAATATCATAAATAAAAGATTGAAATCTAATTTTATTTTAACACGAAACAATGAAATTCATAATTATCAAACTAGACAACATGGTTTATTTCATCTTGATATCGCTAATACTTCTATAGGCCAAAAAAGATTCACCCACGCTGCTCTCTTGGAATATAACAAATTACCAGATAATATAAAAAATTGCAGAAATACAATAAAATTCAAATACCATCTTAAAAAATTTATCATTTCTGAACGAAATAGATGACTTACTTTTGATTCATATTGAAATTGATTTTTGCTCAGCAATATGAAATGATTTGTCAAAATTTAATAATTAATGTTTTCAAATATTTTATTGTTCATCAGTTTATTATAATTGTATAGTTTTAGGTATTATTGTTAACTATACTTCCTTATACCAGAACTTGATTCTGACTGGAAGTAACATTTTCAATAAATAAATAAATAAATAAATAAATAAATAAATAAATAGACACTCCAGAGAAGAAGGTGGCCAAACAGAGCACAAAAAATAAGTTTCAATTGCAAGATCGTTTCTTGACGGCCTCTGATGTTCTAAATGGCAATTGGCCATCAATGGGGGAGACTCCTGATTTTTTGAAACGACATTATCGTGAGCTCTACACTGAAAAACTACCAGTGAATTAATTTTGAATTTTTTCATTCATGCTAAGACGATGAAAAAAGTAAATTAGAATGTGTCAATTTCAGAACACACAATTCCTGCGCCATTTGAAATTGTGTCATTTCATTGGTGTGACTGGCGCGACGTCTTAGTCCCAACACGCCTATTGTCCTTGAAATGACCAATCACACTGCAACACCGCAGAATGGCAAGGTATCAGAGAGAGATAGCTACAGCTCGGAACTAATACGTCACGGCTCCACCATCATATTTGGCTTTTTGAAATATCGAATGGAATATGCTGATTTCAAAACGATATAGATTCGATTCCTTTCAACTTCAACTCATAATATTGATTGTACATAAAACGTAAATCATGATTCGTCGATTGAAAGAGGTTTGCACGGATTTCTTATTCCCTCAGTGGTCTTCCCCATTGCAAAGATTGAATTTCAGGTTAGGGCTAGAAATAGTTCCTGAAATTGTCACTGTCGTCTCTAGTGAACAAACAATAAAGCATCATTGAGTTCTTCAGGAACAGGCCCAAACGATATTCCTGGGTTGGCTATTTTGTTTTGCCCTCATGTGGCGTCATCAGAAAGGAATTTCAAGAATTCAAGGTGATGGAAATTGTTTGCCCTGTGCCTTTCTTAATTCTTGTTTGTGAAGTTTTTACTTTTGCTATGGATATCCATCAAGTAAAGGACGAGTCAATTCAAAAAACGCAGTCATAATGTTTTGAATTAGCTCATCTCTGATTTTTAGTTTATTTGAATTCAGTGGAAATTTCATGTGTCCTATTAGTTTCTTCTTGTCTACCGCATCTTGTCTACTTTTCAGAAAGAAGGTTTATTTAGTTTGAGTTAGGTTAGATTGTTCGAGAAAAGTAGTCTTCTTTGTTTCCTCAAGTAATTTATCGAAAAATATACCTTCAGGACGGTTCATTTCGGCCGAGTTAGGTTAGATTGTTTTGAAACAGTATGGACTCTTTTGGTCTCAAGTAATTTTCAGAAAAATATACTTTCTTGGAAGGAGGTTCACTTAGGCCGAGTTAGGTTAGATTGTTTAGAAGAAGTAGTCTCCTTTCTTATGCAGAAAGGATATTTTCCTTCCTTATATCACGTATGTGGGAACAACGCGATGTGGGATTAACGAAAAGTGGGCACAAAGCAGCGCACCCCACTTGAGCAGACGAAGAGCAGACAAGTATATGCTATGCTAGCTAGACGTTTTTGAATGAAAATGACTTAGTTAATACTGAAATTTTAATGAATTTAAAGTTTTTTTTTGTGGAATGGTATTTTCGAATAATGTTATTTTATTTTATTTATAGCCTCTGTCCGAAGATTTATCAATTATTCTAGGTGCTGAAACTTGATTGACCTGGTATATATATGTCTAATTGTCTGTTATGGAGCTTTAATCTGGTATTATAAATTAAATAGCCAATTTTCTTTTGGTATCATCCTTGTGAATATCAATAAAATATGTATGAAAAGAATAATTTTCATAGCAATAGGTATTGGAGTTGACGATTTGATATTATATTATAATTTGTGGTTACAAAAACCATTATTAATGGTATGACATTGTTATAAGTCCCAGTGAAAATAAATTGATTTTAGACTGATATTCTGGTGAGATAACAAACCTTAAGATAGTTTTTTAAATGATCTGTTGATTGGAATCAGATCAGGTGTGGATTGGATTCTCAGTTCTTCATTCATACAAGTTATATTGAAACAGACTGTATTTCAGTATGTAGTACAAGCAATATTAAGATTGAATATATTTTAGTAAGAATTTCGAAACTTGTTTCATTAAGAGGGTTTTCCTGGACTCTGGAGTTTCAAATTTCAAATAATCTTTTCACTGCTTTTTTAAAGCATATTACAATAACATGAAATTATCATGTAGGTACAACGAATCAAATTATATTTACTTCACAAGTTAAACATGACAACAAACACCAAATATTTTTTTCAAATGAATACTAATAGTTATTTGTTTAACTAGGCAGCAAAGTAGTAGATTGACTGCCGTGGCTGAATTCATAGCCGAGCGTAGCGAGGCTAGGAATCCAGCTAAGGCAGTCAATCTACTTTGCTGTCGAGTTGAACATATAATTTTTTCTTCGATTGTTCATAATGATATGGCAGAATATTGTATTTGCGAATTAATACAATTCCCACAATCTCTTTATTCTTCCTGTATAGTGTACAATTAAAATAAAATTTGATAGAAATCGCAGTTGTTGGTTTGACAATTCATGAAATTTCTGACAGTTGTGCGAAAAAATATCGATATATTTAAATTATTATATAATGGACAGTGATAGCGACCTGGAAGTATACTTACACCTCCATTAATAAGGGAGGTGGCAAAAAATATAGAGTTGAATTTGTTGCCGGAGAAGTCTCGGATGAAATATGAAGGAAATTATAAACGATTTATGGATTTTTAATTTTGCTGATACATATCAATCAGCAAAGTAACCACTTTGCTGCCTAGGCAGCAAAGGACCCACTTTGCTGCCTAGGCAGGAAAAGTAATACTTTGCTGATTGATATGTGTCAGCAAAATTAATATTTGCTGCCAATCGGAGGAAAAATACTTTTCTCGATTTTTTTATGCAGAGTCGTCAATGGCATCATCAAAATTATAGTTGAGTTCTTTCGAGAGTAATTGTGCCTCTTTTTCGTAAAAATTTAACTTTTCCCGCAAACATTCATAATACTTTCTCATTTTCTCAATGATATACAGGGTTTCCTAAAAGAACCGGAACGGTCGAATATTTCAGCAACGACTTGACATAAAAATATTAAATTTGGTATACGGGGGGTTATCAGTGGTGCCGAATCTGAAAATAATATTTGCAACGTTGCCAGATTTACAGTTTTTCCTTTGGATCCCTCAACTTTAGTTTTTCAAATGTAATGCTATATATATTTTCAGTGCAGTCGATTTGTCGTGTTCGAATTATTATGACCCTATAATATCAAATTTTAATTCCCCTAATTTTTGTTAACATGGAAATTCAACATTTCGTTAAAAAATATCACCAAATTTCAATATCTCGAGAAATCGAAGCATTTAAACTTCCTTGTTAAATTCTAGTGTAGATACTTTTTTTGCCAGTGCATCAGCTTGACAGCATCTTTTCCTCTCTGTTCAATCTTATTTTATGAAGTATATCTTTGATCACCTAACTTACCATTCCCGTCTTGAGATCGTGAAGTTCCCGGAGACGGTTCTGTTAGTTCTGATTCTGTCGTCTCATCTGAATTTAGGAAAAATGAATGTATTTTAGGGCATTTCTTGACAACTTCGTCTAACTGATTTTGTTTATTGATCTTCTGCCGTTTCCAGAATGCACCACCTTCTTTTTTACTAATTTCTATTACAATTTCAGTTTTAATACCAACGACAACCTATTAAATACTGAACTCTGATTTTGTTTTTTGTTATTGAGTTAGACGAATCACGAAATTACCCCTACTCTACTGAGCAGAATGCGTTTTTTTTTCTCATCATCAAATAAAAGTGCTTTTTCTCCTTTTCTCTACAGCCTCTTGGGTATATCAGGTATGTAGGACAAGGAAGGGTAAATTTAAATAACATGTTAAAATAGAGGTAATTTTTATTTTTGACCTGATACCTACCAATATAATAAAAATAAATATGTTTCATTGATTCAACAGTCTGCACTCAATTTCTGGCAATTTCATGATTTTCTCTATACCAATTCACACTTTCTTTCATAGCCAAGGAAAATGGTGTGAATTGAAAATCTGGTAAATACTTCCTAAGTTTAGCATTACTGGCAGTTTTTTTATATTGCCCATCAGCTTTGGTAGTATCAAATACAATGGTCCCTTTAAAATTGAACGCCTGAGCTATTTCTTCAGCCAACTCTTTAATTGTGACCTCAGAATTTTCATCAACTACAAAATAAAACAATGATTTCATCAACTTCATATACCAGGTGTGCAAAAATCGAGTGGTTCAAGATTGAATCTTGAAATGGTGATAAATTTAAATACTTGAAATTTTGCATTTTTGAAGCCATTATGTTTAAGTGGGAATTTATTTCATTGATTTGAGCATTCAGAACCTTTTAAAATGTCCTCATAGTGTGTATGACTCCTAGATTTGGTTTTGATAAAAGTGACCAGTATCTTACAATATGTGTGGAACAGTGGCGGCTCCTCAGAGGAGGTAACGGATGAGGCTGAGCCTCCTCAGAGATTTTTCTTGAACTGATATTATCTATACATTATCATTAAAAGGACACCAAAATACATGGATTTTGATTTTATTTCCTGTTTTTAGGTAAATATTTTTGAATTGGCAACAGTGCTTGCCCACGCATCACACGTTGAAGTCTGCAAATCACGCGTAAAATATTCAACTAGGCAACATCTCTGGGAGGCTAGACTCCTTCACAGTGCGCAACCCACTCGCGCAATGCAAATGCCCGAATTCGCCCCCGAATACCACGTGTTTGTCGTGTCGCGTCGCGAATGGTCGCGAATTGCGGGCATTGTTTATGTATATGTTAGGTTAATGGTTAGGGGCTCTATAAATTTCTGAAAAATTAGTGTTTTGAATGATTGCAATTTAGTGGAATACTTTTTGGTGAACCCATTCAGTGCTTTGTCTTATGAAGATAATTGAATGTAAGTGTCATTAAAAACCACTTTAAAGTTCATTTGGAAAGAGAGATTTTTTTACCTGATAAAATTATAGGTTCTACTTCTTGGTAATTCCTCAAAACCCATAGGAAAAGTTTTGCCAAATCCACAGAATAAATAAACTGTCTCAATGGTTTCCCTGTACCCATTACAGTAAATGTATCACCTCCTGAAGATATAACACACACAGGAAAAATTAAAAGATTGATTCATTATTTCTCTTTAACCTTTTTCAATAATATCATGCAGTTTTTTGATGAGACCTGGTATCACATGACTAGATTCTGGATTGTAGTTATCATGGGGTCCAAAAACATTACATGGAATGACTGAAGTAAACATGCAACCATGTTGTTCATGGTAGGCTTTATTTTGTATGTCTATCATTCTTTTTGCATAACTGTATCCAAAGTTAGAAGGATGTGGAGGACCATTATGAACCTAAAGAAAGGCTTTTTCAGAGGATACACAAATGGTTTTCCAGAACTATTCAATTCCAATTAGATTATGCAAAAAAATACAAACCATGGTTTCATCAATTGGATATTGTGTTTTATCTGGAAATATGCAAGTAGAAAGACAAGACACAACTTTTTCAACTCTAGATTCATAGCTGATCTGTAGGATATTATCATTCATATGGAGGTTGTTTCTCTGAAACAAATGTTCTAAAATAGGTAGGCAACTAAATACTAACCAATTTAAAATAACATACATTTTAGCTCAAATATTTGAATTATAAAAACTGATTTCTAATAATGATCCCTATCAGCTTACCAGAAATATATTAATGTGCAAAAGTGCATATATATAAAAAGGGACAAAATATTACTCACCAGGAAATCCAAATTATGGGCCATATTATGAAATAGTCCACCAACCATAGCAGCTAAATGTATGACATGGGTGGGACAATGTGTTTCAAAAATTTTCTTGGTAGCTTGGTAATCACTGAAATTTTATAGTAGGTACTTAAATGAAATCAGTAAATCCATATGGCCACAAACCATAAATCCCCATCTTTGCTACTCAGGAATATCCATTTCTCGTCTGGGAGATTTTCAAGCTCCACTATGTGTTGAATAGCTTTCCCAACAAGACCTGTTCCACCAGTAACCAGTATGACCTTATTTTTGCCCATTTTCACTTTTGAAATTACTGGGTCATATCCTCTTATAAAAGTCTTATTATGGATTCCTGATACTTTTTCAGAAAAATGAATTTTGAATTAACTAGAAGGCTATTGGAATCAATGGAATCACGCTCAGATCAACAACTTTTGTTAATCTGAGGAATCACGTGAAATTGAAATTTTTAAACAAAATAACAATAACAAACAATAACCCTACTTAGGAATTCTTCTTACTTTTTTACTTATTAACCGGTTAGCCAGGATTTTATAACATGGAATGGGTCACAAGAGACGGACAAAATAAATAAGAAGAGAGAATGTTGGTTATGGTTCATCTTCATAGGTTATGATTTGTTATGATGCCAAAATGTCTTGCCCAGTTCAGTTCCAATAGTTCCATAGATAAACTTTCCTTCAGTTCTTTTCGTCGTGCCAAGGAATTCAGAATTCCAGTAATTCCACCATAAAAGGCCTAAATCATCAATAATGAGCTCTATCTGTTGCATATGTCTAATAGATATTGTTGGTATTGGGTGTTACAAATTGAATCATTCTGATGAGACTGGCATTAGCTGGTTGAACAAATTATACTCCATAGTACCCGAATTGGTAATTCAATTACACAATTACCATAAAATAACCAATACAACTTTTTTTTACAGGAACAGATCTCATCAAAATTTGTAGAAGATTCACTAGTGGTATGTGATTGTTGTATAAATCAAATTGACGGAATTATCAGATTCAAAAACCATTTGATTGAACTCATTGCAAAGCACAATCTTCAAACTACAAGAGAAAGTATCACTGGTTTTGAGAATGATGATATTTTCAATAATTCTATAGAGTACCAGAAACTCAGTGACCATACTTTGCAGGATGTTAGTGAAACAACATGTTCGAATGCTTGTCTTGAATATAATTTTCCATGTGATTCTAGAATTGGGTCACCTGAAAACCAAGAAACTGGTTCACTAGCCACAATTTCCACTGAAACTATACAGAATTATTTGGAAAAAGAATGTAATGATGAAATAAATTTCAAGGAGTCTGAATCACAATGCAAGAAATCTAGTGAATCAATCACTCATGGTAAACTTTCTAAAATAAATGAAAAAGGAAATAAAAGTTCATTAGTTTGCAATAGTTGCAATGCATTTTTAACAACTAAAGGGAAGCTCAAATTGCACCAAAAATCATGTGCAAAATTTCTAGGCAGGGTACAAGATAGACATGAGATTGAAAGAAAGGCCACAAATAAATACTCTTGTGAGAAATGTGATCTGAAATTTGATTACATCAAAGATGTTATAGCACATTCCACCATTGTTCATTCCATGAATGAAAAGGCTGTTAAACCATATTCCTGTGATATCTGTAGTTGTCGTTTCACATGTTTTTCCAATTATAGTCAGCATAAAAAATACCATAATGGTACTAGGGATCATATATGTTCCCTTTGTGGTAAAACTTTCATAACTAAAGGTGATCTCATGGCACATGACTACATTCATCAAAATCGCAGGAACTACAAATGTACAATATGTGAAAAGGCATTCAACACTAACAAAAATCTAAGGACACATAACCTAGTTGTACACACTGATCACACTTTATGGAAACATGAATGTTCAATATGTCACAAGAGATTTCCTTTGAAAGGAAACTTTGATCAACACATGAAGAGACATTCTGGGGACAAGCAGTATGTGTGTCATATTTGTGAAAAGTCTTTTGTATCTAGAAGTGAGCTGAAGAGACATGTTTCCTTACACACAAACATAAGAGCTTTCTCTTGTGAATATTGTAATCAAGAATACAAGACCCTGAGAACTTTGAACATCCATTTGAAACGTTCTCACTCCATAGGAGATGTGAAGCTACCACTGAAGGAAAGAAAATATGTTTGCCATATTTGTCCTAGTCAGTTTTACAATAAACATAAATTGACCAGGCATCTGTATGGACATTCAGGATTGAAACCATTCAGTTGTGATTCATGTGATAAAAAATTTACTGATAAATCATATTTGAGTCATCATTTACAAGTTTCACATAATATTATGAAAAGCACTATAGATTGAAGTCAGTTATTTACCATACTCAATAAAGAAATGAAATGAAAATATTTGAATGATAACTCTTTAATATTACCTACCTAATTGTCCATCTGATTCTGAAACTAACAATTAAAAACATAAACCCAAATACTCTTCAGAAATTAACTTCTCACGGAAATACATACAGTCAGTATTTTTTAATAATGCATGTTGGAATAGTTGATTTATATCTGTGGGATCATCAGATATGCGGGACAATAATTGATTTAGAGGATGCAAAGAGGTGAATCTAATACTTGGAATCTACTTTCAGTTTTACTGGCCAATATACGGCATATTAAATTAATACATCGAACAGATATACGCACTATAATATATTATAGACCTTCGATCTAAGATATAGACTCTGGACAAAGAGAACGCCCTGTATAAGATTTCTTCTTCTAATTTTGTGTGGCCTCTAGATTTAATTTCAGATCTTCTCTTATTATCATATTTGAGGCGGCCACAGCTGGTTAGGCATCCGGTCAAGAACGGCGCCAACCCGGCCCTAAAGCATAAGAAATAAGAAGAAGGTGTTATAGGTTATGTCTGTCTGAGATTTCAAAACATAAACAAAACAAAATGTCAACACAATAACAACAAAGAATTCAAAAATATTAAAATTTTAAACATTGAATTGAATTATATTATATAGATTTCTGATACATACCATAATGAATAGTTTGAATGCAAGTTGCTGTGTTTGCTTGAATAATTTCTTAGTTCTCAATAAGCTCTCAAAGAAAGATGATAACAATATTGCTTTAATTACAAAAATTGAAATCACAATTCCAGAAATTGTAAGTTGTATTGAAAGTCTTTAATCTCCCAACGTTATTTTATTATATTTCATTCTAGGAATGGGATTTATCCTTCCAAATTTGTGATCCCTGCACAAATTTGCTGAGTATTGTCTATACTTTTAGAGAAACTTGTATAAAGTCTAATATTATTAGAAAACAGAGATATGCAGAGCCACTCAACATAGAAAATAACATTAAATCAGAGTATATTAGTGCATCCATTACTGAAGATGTAGAGTCAGATTCTCGGCAAAGTTATGATGATGCTAAACATGAAAATGGTGATGATGAACTTGATGAATGTCAGTCTGATGATAATGATGATGATATAAATGATCCCAATTATAGTGAAGAGGATGAGAAGAAAGTAAAAGTCAATGTGAAACTTGAGATTATCAGTGGTAAATTAAATTGAAAATATGTACAATTTTGGAAATACATGAAGTTGTTTCATTACAGAAACATCAAAAACTAAAAGAAGGAAGAGAAAACCCAGAATAGACAAATTTGGCTGTGAAAAATGTCAGAATAATTTTAGTTCAAGCACAGTTTTAACAAAGCACTGTGTGGAGAAACATGGGATGAACAGTAAAGATGTCAAGCCTTTTGCTTGCACTAGATGCAGTAGTAGGTTTGGCAATTCTTCGAATCTACTGCAGCATATCAAATACCATGATGCTGTTAGATCACATATATGCACATACTGTGGCAAGGGTTTCATTACCATGACAGATCTGAAGATACATGAGAAACAGCACTTGAACATGAGAGAGTACAAGTGTGAAATTTGCTTTAAAAGTTATAATACTCACAAGGATTTGAGGTAGGTTTTTCAAATCTCAGATAGTTTGTTTAAGTTTTAAATAAAAAGGAATACCTACTTGTCATGTCATGATTTTCATATTTCAGTTGAATCCTCTGTTGAACCATATTATTTAATACACCCACACTCATGCTGGGTTTATAGATTCAATTGAACTAACCACTATTAATTTACAACAATCATCAATAATAATCAGAGTATACATTATCTTATAATAATTAAGAATTAGATATATTATTATTATTATTATATGTGAAATGTCTTCTGAATGCAGATCAAAATGATAAATAGTGATCTTGGTCTTCACAATCTATGAAATCCATTTAAAATATTTCAATAAAATATCACCAAACCTGATGATAACAAATTCAAGATAAAATTCAATTCCAAGATTTCTTAATTCATGGTTGTCAAGTTGAAAGTTGCCCATGCAACTTTGATCAAGTTAATATAGATGTTTCCATGTAGGTATTCAACATTTAAAGTTCTAGTTATTAGTTTCATATTATCAGACATAACCACAAATAAATTGATGGAAAAAGCGGGAAGTGACAGTCTTGCCCGTCTTGGTGACAGTACACAGACGTACATGCCATACATTTCAAAGGTTTGACAAATTGAGAGAATTAGGAGAAAGAGAGAGAGAGAGAGAGAGAGAGAGAGAGAGAGAGAGAGAGAGAGAGAGAGAGAGAGAGAGAGAGAGAGAGAGAGAGAGAGAGAGAGAGAGAGAGAGAGAGAGAGAAGTTTGTGCAGTTTCCAACTGTGAAAATACAGGAAATCAATTCACTCTATTCGAATTTCCATGGGATAACGTAATTCTACAAAAATAAAAACAGAATATGATGCGGCCGGCATGGAATATAGGTTCAGGCCACAAAATTTGTGAGGTATTCAAATTTCTTGGTGAGATAAAGAACATTTTTCAACGAATTTTTATCAGGTACACTTCAGAACGGAAGATTTGATGTTGAAGAATAGGATCATATTGAGAGAAAGAGCCGAACCGCGAAATACTATATGAAAAACTTTTGCATTTGAAAAACCGAATGGAAGATTTGAATAACAAATTGAATAATATTATTATTATCATTTATCCTAACTCAAATCAGCTGTTATTGTTGCCATATCATTTGTTCAATTATTAATTACTTATAACCTACCACTCTTGTACAAGTGCCTACATATAAGAGACTTATTTCATAGGAATAGTATATGTATTTCGTTGGTATATATGCATATACCAACTTGATATCGACCTCCATTGAGGTCCAATAGCCTCATCATTCAATATTTTGAGAAGAAATAATTTTCTAATCAATGTATCATACCATTTTACCCACTCGAGGAGACGCTATGCACTCTTATACAAAAATCAAAGACAGAGAAAGATATATGGATGTACTCTTCTCAGGACTTGTGGAGGAAGGAAGATGCGAGGATCCTTTATTTGAGCGAAAAACATATTCTTGTCCTTGTCTGGCAAAACAAAATCGTTTGTGGATATGTTTGATTGTCACTGCTTGTCAAGTGTCCGTACTCTAATATACAAAAAACGTCAAAACAGCGGTGTCAAGTACATTCAGGAACCCTAGTGTAATAAAGCCCTGGTTTCTCTGACCAGATTGGCCCGAAATATTTCGGTGATATAGCACAGAAAGTTCGTTAGCGTTTCCGGTGAAACCAAGCGTATTTGTAGTACGTATTGGCGGTTATTTGTATGAAAGATCGAACCGAAATTTCGCAAAAGTGAACAGTTTTTGATTTAACCGATTGCAAAACGGCACAGTTCGCCGAAATAGTGTAGTGTGTTTGTTTTCAGACCTTTACAACAGTCAGCCTACTAACAATGATGACAGTACAGAACTACTTAACTGCCTTCTCACCTGGGAACAAGCAGTTATAAATAATATATTGCCTAAATAAGGTAGAACTCATTACTTTCAGTACTTTTGTATATACAAATTTAATATTACTATGTGTGGTTATAGACGAAACTTCTGAACGAACTGAATCCGGCGAATATACACGTTCTGTAAGCTGATATTCGCCGAAATATTTCGGGCCGATCTGGTCAGAGAAACCAGGTCTTAAATACTCAAGGCTCACATCCATTTCAGGTCTCACAAACTGGTAGTCCACACCGACTCCCAGCTCTGGAAGTACTTCTGCGAGATGTGCCACAAGCGGTTCCCTATAAAATCCAACTACGACTGCCACATGCGTCGACACACCGGCGTGAAAAAGTTCGAATGCCACCTGTGCAACCGGAAGTTCACCGACAAGTGCGTGTTGCAACGGCACATGCGCACTCACTCTAACGTCAGGGATTTCAAGTGCGCGCATTGCGAAAAAGAGTACAAGGACAAGCGGGTGCTGCAAATCCACATGGCCAAGGTGCATGGGATAGGAGTGGGGGAGATCAAGTTGCCTTCCAAGGAGCGGAAATATATTTGTCATATGTGTCCCAAGGCCTACTATGCCAAGAACAAGTTGACCCGGCACTTGTACACGCATACCGGGGAGAAGCCGTTTTTCTGTACGATTTGCGAGAAGAAATTCAATGATAAGTCTTATCTCAAGCAACACCTGAAGAAGAGTCATAATATCTTTGATTGATGTCAATATTGATACTGGTAGCTATAGCAATGGAGGTCCTGATGGAGAGGAGTAGAACGGTATAATAACCTCCTCTTCTGGGACCGCAATTCAGCGGTGGAAAAAGATGATATTACATAGAAATCATATTATACTCAAGCCTATTTTTCCTGAAAATGCTGATCTCGACATGCCTGATATAGATCTGGAAGAAAATGGCAGCATACAAGATATAAAATTTTATTTATTTGTCGTATTATTTTCATGTTACAATAAATCCTAAGAACAACCTCGAACTTATGGTGGAACCCAATCATTAGATATCCCATATTTTATATCGCCAGGGTGAAGATTCCTTCAGAGGCAGTGCCATCTACTATCTTTCTATTGAGATATACTTGTATTGAGTTCATTGAGTGTAAGACAGAACTTTTCATGTCATAGCATTCATTTCGTCTTATGACCTTGCGTCTTATGTTCTATGATTCCATACATAGAGACATCCTCTATTGAGCTGTTTCAGTCTATTTTGGGCTCTAGTTATCAATCAATTAATTTATTTGGCGAAAATATTTCGTGAGGTATATTGTACTGCACCTTGTTCTTTGTCGCCTTGCTTACTATTGAATGATATTATAGATCGCGTGGACGATGACCGACCCTGGGGGTAAAATATTGAAACACAACCTCACTTTTCTGTGAAACATTGAAACACAACCTCACTTTTTTTATTTGTTTAGAAAATAGTTTTTCGCAATATTTTGGCATACGAATCGTGTTTTTTGCGCTATTCATTAATCAAGCATGCCTTTACATTGTTCTGTTTTGTACAATGCACAAAAAATGCAGTGAGAGACGAAGGAATATGATTCTTCAGGTAAATAGTAATCTCACATAGTTTTCATTATGAAATTTTGTCGTTTCCTATTGAAATTCTGTCTGCCACTTCTGCAATAGAAGCTAATACTAATAGATTGAAAATGTCTACAACACACACGATCTTAATTTGTCAGCATGTCAGACCAGTTCTCCCGTTTGATTGCATTGAATCCAATCTTCTTGCATTATTCTAGAAATTTCATGAGTATTTCTATTAGCTCCTATTGCAGAAGGAATTCCGATGAAAAATCAGAGAAATTACCGAAATTCAGCAATGAAAACTATATGTGAGTGACTATAGTAGGTATACTTACTTTTGAATTATAATGTACCAACCGGATTCCTTCGTCTCACACTACATTTTTTGTGCATACGCGAATTAATGAATAGCCGAAAAACACGATTCGTATGCCGAATTAATTGTGAAAAACTATTTCAATCATTTGTAAACAAATGAGAAAAGTGAGGTTGTGTTTCAATGTTTCACCTCCAGGGTATGTCATCTGATAGTTCTTGCACGCAACCCATAAACGTTTGAAGTTTCAACATTTTTTTTTGTAGGATTCATTTCAACGTATATTTTGTCCTCTATTATCCCACTCTAAAACCATTCAAGTAGTTTTATATACATATGAAATTGCACTCTCCTTCTTTCGTCGGTGGTCTAAAATAGTCTCCCGATAATATAACCTACAACTACTAGCTCCAGGAATATTGGAAAACAATGGAGAAGTTTCCTCTTTCCTTATGATGAATGTAAATATTCATTTTATTAAAAAATATGTAGATCGCCAATCTTTCAGACTCGTAAAAAAATACCACATTACTCACTTGATACATTGAATAACTATTTATTTTATCAGTTGTTGTTCATGTTTTTTTTTTCTTGAAATGAGTAATAATATCGAAATACTTCTTCTCTTTCACTTTGTTTTTTATTGCCCAATCTCTCATGATTCTGTTATTTGCTAGTATAACTCGCATTTCACTTACTATGATGACAAATGATATTCAATTAGTATCTTCAATTATTTCACTATATTGAAAAATACTCGTTTGCAGTAGGTATGTATTTCTGTAAATATAATACACAATATATAATTTTCTTACAAACATTTCATTACCATATAAACTTTGCCATTTCGTCGTATTCACAAAATTACACAGGACAAAACGGGAAGAACCCTGAAAAAATATTCTCAATCACTTTCACAGTTTATGGAAACAAAACGGAATCAATGAGAAAAAAATTCTTCTATCTACAACTATTCGCGAGATTCACGAAGTGGGCGACATCTACGTTACATAATACGAACTTCAAACTGGGGGAAAACAAACTGTTGTCTATGGATAAAGTGCATAGACTACATTGCATAACTGTTGTTAAAACTCATCACTCTTATCAGTACACAGTACACAAGCTAATGGCACTAATGGGATTGAGTGAGGATTGAGTTTGTTTTCCCCCAGTTTTGACGTGGCTTTGACATGGAACGATGAAAACCGAGCGCCACCTGGTAGCATTGATTCCCGCGAGAGTAATTCATGCATTGCCAACTCTAATTCAAATGGTTTATATCAGTCATTGTTGTGGTGAATCAAGCAATAATGACAATGCAATAGAATAATAATAGGTTTGTTCGCGTAAAAAAATATAAACAGTCCGAAACCATCAGGAGCATGCGCAATTTCATAGAACATTACGAAATTTTCAAGTTCCGTGAAACTGCGCATGCTTCTGATGGTTTCGGACTGTTATTTTTCAAACGCGAACAAACCTAATGTGAAATGCGCCCACACATACCTATGGATAATATGAATTGAGAACAGACTTTATAATCGATTCGAAGTTACCTGATTGAACTAAACGAATCAGTATACATACCAATAGTAAATTGTATTATTAGGATCAAAAGTGACGCTTAGCTAAACGCTCCGCCTCGCAAATGCAAAATTTACGAGTCAAACAAAGTCACTTTTAATTCAAATGAAACATATGCTATTTTTTCTGCAACCGAAACAATTAACTCAAATAAATATGTGAAGTAACCAACAATGTCGTGCCATATGTATGCAATGCAACAATAATCCGTGTGGTGAGAATATTCTACCTGCATTAACAGCAGGTTTATTCAATTTTCAAGGATGTTCGAATTGTAGTTTCAATATAAATTCAACCACAGAGTGACATATTTGTCTATGGACCAGATACTATAATGGCAAATACCGCGCCAGTGCCAGGTATAGAAACAAGACGTGGAAAATGTTGGGTTAGGTGTGAGCATATCAACAATAATAATAGCGATTATTTATTTCTTTCCATACTCCACTGTGTTTGGCTTGATAATCAAATGGAGGTCAACAATATCGTTGTTTGAGACAAAAAACTATTGCTGGCCGTGATTATTCAAAAACAAGTAATCCATCCCGAGAATAACGAATGAAATACAGATCAAGCAAGTATGTGAATCTTGAAGGCTTCCCTGATCAAAACAAAAATACTTGACTATAATAAGGTGAAGGTGTGTTTATATCTCTAGCATGGGTATGAAATGACAAACCTGCCAAAATCGGAAACAAATCAGGTATGCGTCCGAACCCAAATAACCGACCATAACAATGTTGTTTTTTCTTGATGACCTCTAGTACATCCTTTTTAGTTCCTAGAAGTACAACTTTAGTTGGGTCAGTAATAGAAACGTCAATTCAAGAGCTAATTTTGGTATTAAAATGGACGACTTATGTGCCGGTTGCAGAAAAAATTATTTCACGCATTATTGGTGTCACATTACCCATCAACAATATTTAGAAAATCTGCAGAGCCGAAGAAAAAATAAGATATCTGAACGAATAAAAACCCCCATTATTATTTTCTACAAACCTTAAAACAGATCAGTCCGAGTCAGACCCACTTTCAGAGAGGCACAAATCGTCATTGAGCACGCCCGTATCAATTTTCACAGGGCCGGAATTGCCATTACTGTACCCATTCATTTTGGCAGATGGCAAACTTTTATTCGTTAATGTAGCTTCACCGTCGGATTCGGAATCGCTACTGCTACTCGATGAGGAGCTATCCGTGATCTCCCCTACGCCGTTGTTGTCAATCTAGCGGGAAAAGTTAGGTTATAAACACAAAGAAGCCACTTCAGAGTAACTGCACCTTTTTTCTACGGCTATAACACAAGATTGCTCTTGTTTTACTGTGTTCGATATATTATCGATAAGTTACTTTGTATGTCATCAATTTTATTTCCGTATCTGATATCACAATGACTCCATTGTGTTATCATTTCAAGAAAATCTCATCGCTCATGGAATGTCAAATGTGAAGCAATGTCAGCTCTGACTAATAGATGAGCATTACTTGACAGGAAATCAGATGGCTACAAGACGAAGAAATAAAAAATGTCGCTGTTATCTGTTACAGCCGTAGAAAAATTATAGTGTATAACTTGCACGGAATGCTGATTTCCTACTCGAATGATTGCAGCATTCGCCTGTGGCTCATGCTGCAAACTTCATTCTCGTAGGAAATCACTATCATTCCGTGCTCGTTAAACAATATACTATTCCAGTTGTATTTTAGAAAGCATCAATTGTATATCAAAATAGTCACTTGTATTTCCGAAGCATCAATTGTAATTCAGAATAGTCACTTGAATTTGAGGAACCGTCAATGGGTCTTTCAACAAGGACCGGCCGATGTTGTAATTGAATAAAACAAGCTGTGTGTTGAATAAAACAAGCTGTGTGTGAGATATTAACGATTTTTTTATTTTATTTGAATGGCCCATTTATGCCATTATTTATGGAATATGACATCGTTCAAATGTCCGCCGCGGCTTCGAATGGTGGCACGGATCCGAGAGGTCCAATTTTCAATGACTCTGCTGCATAAATCCGGCTGAATCTGAGCAATGGCTTGCGTTATGTTCACTTTCAGGGCATCGGTCGATTGCGGCTTATTAACATAGACCTGCGACTTCAGAAAACCCCACAAGAAAAAGTCTAGTGGAGTCAAATCGCACGATCTTGGCAACCAATTCACATCACCTCTGCGAGAGATAACCCTACCCTCAAACCGTTCGTGCAGAATTTTCATTGTATCTTTCTCTGTGTGGCACGTTGAGCCGTCTTATTGGAACCACATGTCGTCCACGTCCATATCGTTCAATTCAGGCCAAAAGAAATTGTTAATCATTGATCTGTAGCGCTCGCCATTGACGGTGATGGCCTCGCCAATGTCATTTTCAAAGAAGTACGGACCAATGACGCAGCCGGACCAAAATCCACACCAAACAGTAACTCTTTGTGGATGCATTGCCACCTGGTGAACCTCCTGTGGGTTGTGTTCATCCCATATACGGCAATTTTGCTTATTAACAAAACCATTCATCCAAAAATGGGCCTCGTCGCTAAAGATTATTTTTCGGCCAAAATCGGGGTCGTCTTCCAAACGTTCCGAAGCCCACTGAGCGAACAAACGGCGTTGCCTATGGTCATTAACTTTGAGCTGTTGGGTCAGTTGGATCTTGTACGGGTGCAGGCCCAAGTCCCGGCGCAAAATTCTCCAAGTTGAAGTCTGCGAAAGGCCTAGTTCTTGTGCACGGCGAGAAATCGACTGCCTCGGAGATATTATCGTATTGACGTAAGGGTGTTGGTTGTTTGTTTACCGAACCGGTAGTCTCGAATTTGGCTACCAAACTTTGGAGAGTCGACGTTGAAGGGCCACCGCGTCTGCCGTAAAATGGGCGCTATACGCGCAACGTTTGCACTAACGAACACTCATTTTGATAATAAAGTTTAATCATTTGGACATGCTGCTCGATCGTGTAACTTGCCATGGTAATTTGGCATCAGTGACTGAATAGAATACAACAGATTTGACAGATGCCCCCAAAAAAACATGGCCGTCACACACTGTCAACATCGACCGGTCCTTGTTGAAAGACCCTTTATTTCAGAATAGTCAATTCAATTTGAGTGTCTTTTATATTTCAGAAAATATCATCTGAAACTCAATTGACTACTAATCCCCTTCTAATAATTATGAACTTATTAGTTATAATATAGCACATAACAAAATAAATAATATGAATTATTTAAAGATGAACGTGGCGGCATCGCCAAGCAATAATCCTAATGAGAAAAATAATAAAGACAAAACTTCTAGATTCGAAAAATCAGGGGTATACAAACTCAACTGTGGATCTTGTCCTAAGGTATATATCGGTCAGACAGGTCGTACGTTTAATCAACGCATTCATGAACATAAGGTGAATTTTTTGATAAGAAAACAAATTCAACATACGCCAACCATATATTAGAAGAAAACCATATTTTTGATGATAATTTCGAAATTCTACACGTAGAAAATAAAGGAATGAAACTCAATCATTTTGAATCATTAGAAATCAACAAACTCAAAAATTCTGACATTTTACTTAATGATAAATTAGACCTCAATAGTTCACCACTGTTGAATTTGTTTCCTTAGTAGGTAAGTAACGGCCGAATCGATTCAAAAAATATCTATAACGAATCTCAATCCCTGTACAATGATTCCACAGAGTTATCCCCACCATTCGCGATTAAATTCATCCATCCGTGTTTGGCGTTCAGGTAGGCGAATACTTTTAAATGATTAATGAGTGAATGAATCGCGGTGTCAGTCTATTTTTTTTTAGTCTGTGGAAGCCACAATATTTTCGATATTGGGATAATATGGAACCAATACCCTGCCAAGATTCGTGCTACTGGGGATACTCGAAAGTGGAACAGGATGAGCAGATATCGCTCGACGCCATTTGAACAGAATCTTACCTTGGGAGGAGGTAGAGAGGGGGGAGTGGGTCGCTTCTGTTGCGTCGGAAGCTGTGAGGTGCTGCGCGAACTGTGCGAATTTGGTGGATGAGCATTTCGAGAGGATGGCCTCATATCAGAGAAGTCGTCCATGCCTATCATCGGGAGGCTGGCAAGAGTGCTCTGATTATGTAATCTGCAAATCACTCAGTTGATCAGTCATGAAGAGATCATCAATGCAACAATCATATATATCCCTTTCAGACCCTGCCTACTCATATGTTCATTACAAGGCCCGTATTTATAGTCGTTTCCTCAAGAACTCCTCAAGTCTTCCTTATCTGAGGATTCCTTGAGGACTCCTCAGTATTTGACGTGAAACTTGTTTTATTGACCTCTCTTGAGTATTCCTTCTAAAAGGAGCCCGTACACTTGGCAACAGTGTATGATTTTAGTGTTCTGTGACCAAATTTGTTGTTGCATGTCACGTGTTTGCCACAAAATGTAAAATGTCAAATTTGATAATGTTCACAGTTGAGTGTGGATATCGAAAGATAAGAGAATAATAATATGAAATAACAAAAAATCCCGAATAGTTTGGAAGCTATTGAATATTTACCTGTTCATAATATCATTGATATTAATAAGCGTTAATAATAGTCTCTAGACTTTAAAGAGCTGATCTTTTCTGCACGAAAAACCGTGGAATCCCAAAAATACATGTGAAATTTGTCAAATCAGTCAAATGTCAATATCCACAGAATATGACAGAACTCACAGAATATGACAGAACTCACAGATCATGTGCGTAAATCCGTGATTATACCGCATGCATAGAACTTTTAACTTTAGTTGTTGCATATCTTTTATCGTGACGAATACTTGATTTAAATTCGCCCGTTGATGACGTTCTGTTGGGATAGTAATAGATTTGGCATTTTTTTAAGAGTGTACGTAATAGCGTAATAGATGGGATCCGAAAGTAATAGAACTATTACTATAGTAATAGTATATGCAACACTGAAGTGAGTACTAACTCGTTATTGGAAGGCGGCGGCAGCGAGTTGTGCTGCGCCTGCGCCGGCGAGCAGTTGCTGGTCGGACTGGCGTGCAGCGGCGAGTGCTTGGGCACGAGGTGGGTGATGTGGCGGTCGGCGCGTCGGCTGCCGCTCGCCACGCGCGTTTTGTGCGACACGCGATGCCCGACAGCGTTCTCTCGCTGCTGCGGCTGCGGCTGCCGCAACGGCGGGCTGGATTTGGCGCTGCCCGGCGGCCGGCCTTCGCTCTGGCTCGTCCTGTCGCCTGCGGAACACAAAGACAAAGATTGCACAGACTCTATATAGACGATTCAAAACGAGCGACACGGGGAGACATACCATGTCATTTATAAAATACTATTTCCTACGGCTATAGATAGATAGATAGATAGATATTTATTTCCCAAAGATACATATTCTATAATATAATGCGGTAGGTCACAGCTATCACAGATTTCGGATTTAAACATAAAAACAATGATATTGTAATGTCTGGCTCCACCATCCCCACCAAGCCCACCATATCTATGCTCGGTATTTCCATCAGCAACACTCTTTCATGGGATAATCATGTCAGATCCATCGCAAAAGCTGCTTCACAAAAACTCGGATTCTTGTTCCGTGCGAAAAGCTACTTTACACCTCAACAGCTTCTCATGATCTACAAAGCGCAGATACGGCCTGTTCTAGAATACTGTTTCCACATAATATATGGGGTTCAGCACCAAAACATACGTTGATGCTCTTAGTTTCCATTCAGAGAAGAGCCATTCGCCTGGTGGGTAACGCCACACTCACTCACTCTTTGACATCATTGGAACACCGTAGAAAGGTCGGCGACCTTTCACTTTTCTATCGATACTTCCACGGGAAATGTTCTTCGGAAATCTCTGCTATCATCCCTTCACTAGCAATACCAGTCAGACGAACTAGACAAGCCCAGTCAACACATCCCGTCGTTGTCAACCGCGAAAGATGTCGAACAGCACTTTATCAAGACTCCTTCATCCATAGAACAGCTAGGCTCTGGAATTCATTGCCTTTGGAAGTATTCCCAACAACATATAATCTCCAAGAGTTCAAAAAAAATTCCAATACCTACCTCCTGTCCCTATCCTCCCTAGGAACGCACGATGTTCTTTGAACATTATAGGGATTCCCTTTCGTGCGCTCCAAGCGATAAAAAAAATGTATCATATTATTATGCATAGAGCTTAGGGAAAGAAAACGTAATGTTCAACAGGTATTTTGAATATACAGGGTGTTTCTTAAGTACGTGTAGAAAATTCAGGAGCATGTTGCTGACGTCAAAATAAGAAGAAAAGTTCGTATAAATATATGTCCGAATGTTATTCGTTTCTGAGATACAGAGTGTCAAAGTTGAATTTTCATCTTTGTTTTCTGTTAATAAATTTCAAAATAATTGTGATATTCGAACAAAATTTGGTATCTAGGGGTATTTTTCAATGACAATATCAAATTTTATGTTATGTTGTCTCTTTTGTGGGGGTGGCGCCACCTACATGTCTTTTGAGTCTTTTGAAAAGTCATAACTAAAATACAGGGTGGGTCACGGTCGATGGCACCTTAGACGTTTACGGAAAAGGGGACATAAGATTTTTTTTTTTTTTTTTTTATCGCTTGGAGCGCACGAAAGGGAATCCCTATAATGTTCAAAGAACATCGTGCGTTCCTTGGGAGGATAGGGACAGGAGGTAGGTATTGGAATTTTTTTTGAACTTTTGGAGATTATATGTTGTTGGGAATACTTCCACAGGCAATGAATTCCAGAGCCTAGCCGTTCTATGGATGAAGGAGTCTTGATAAAGTGCTGTTCGACATCTTTCGAGGTTGACAACGAAAGGATGTGCTGACTGGGCTTGTCTAGTTCGTCTGATTGGTATTGCTAGTGAAGGGATGATAGCAGAGATTTCCGAAGAACATTTCCCGTGGAAGTATCGATAGAAAAGTGAAAGGTCGCCGACCTTTCTACGATGTTCCAATGATGTCAAAGAGTGAGTGAGTGTGGCGTCACCCACCAGGCGAATAGCTCTTCTCTGGATGGAATCTAAGAGCATCAGTGTATGTTTTGGTGCTGAACCCCATATGTGGGAACAGTATTCTAGAACAGGCCGTATCTGCGCTTTGTAGATCATGAGAAGCTGTTGAGGTGTGAAGTAGCTTTTCGCACGGAACAAGAATCCGAGTTTTTGTGAAGCAGCTTTTGCGATGGATCTGACATGATTATCCCATGAAAGAGTGTTGCTGATGGAAATACCGAGCATAGATAGGCTGGGCTTGGTGGGGATGGTGGAGCTAGACATTACAATATCGGGCATACTGAGTTCCGCCTTTCTAGAGAAAATGCAGGCTTGAGTTTTGGTGGCGTTGAATTCAACTAGGTTGTTTGTTCCCCAGGCTGTGATTTCAGCAAGATCTTCATTGACAGCATTGACCTGCCTGCGCCGTGAGTTCTTAGTTTCCTGGGAAGAAATGGGAATTCTAGAAGAGAACGCAGTATGGAGGGTACTATCATCTGCAAAGCTGTGGATGGGGCAAGTTGTTACTCCCAACAGATCATTGATATGAAGCAGGAATAATGTTGGTGCCAAAATTGATCCTTGTGGAACGCCGGAATTGATGCCAAAGGTATCAGACGATACACCGTCCACCACCACGTGAAGCGATCTGCCTGAAAGAAAACTCGATAAGAGATGGCATAGCTGAGGTGGTAAGCCGTATGATGGTAGTTTGTGGAGGAGTCCTTCGTGCCAAACACGGTCGAATGCTTTCGAAATGTCCAACGCGACAGCTAGAGATTCCCCGTGTTTTTCTATTGAAGATTGCCATAAATGGGTGACGTAGGCAAGTAGATCTCCAGTAGATCTTCGGTGGCGAAAGCCGTATTGTCTATCATTGATGATTCCTGAGCTCTCCAGATATTTGATAAGCTCAATATTGATGGCTTTCTCCATCACTTTGGAGATTACTGATAACAGGGCAATGGGCCTGTAGTTGTTGGGCAGGTTCTTGTTCCCTTTTTTGGGGATTGGTTGGACTCTAGCTGTCTTCCAGCATGATGGAAAAATACCCGACCTGTACGAGATGGTAAACAACTTGCAGAGAATCGGTGTTAATTCTGGTGCACATTTTTTGAGGATAATGGGTGGAATTCCATCAGGACCGTTAGCCTTATTTGTTTTGAGACCAAGCAAAATTCGTCTGATAGTGCGTTGACGGAAGACGATTTCGGGCATTCGACTCTCAACGGGTGGAATGTCTGGCGGCAGTTTTCCTTGGGAATCTAAAGTAGAGTTTGCTGCGAACATCTCTGCAAAAATATTTGCTTTCTCCTGCGATGTTGTTGCTAATGTGCCGTCGGATTTGGACAGTGGTGGAAATGAACTATTATTGAAATTTCTTCCGACCGCTTTAGCAAGGGACCAAAACGAACGGGAGCCATTGGGGCAATCTATGAGTTTCGATCTTATCTTGGCATTGTATGTTTCTTTCGAAGCATCTATTGTTTGGCTGCAGTTATTCCTGGCATCAACGTATTCTGCTCTAGTCGCGAGGTTAGGGTTTTTGCGCCAGCGATGGTAGGCTGTTTGTTTCAAGGCAACAGTTCTAGAACAGTTTTTGTTGAACCAGGGTTTCGAAGGTGATGATCTTTTCGAAAAATGAGGTATGTATGTGTCCATTCCGAGCATGATGATCTCGGATATTTCCGCAGCACACTGTGAAGGGTCCTCAGAGTCAAAGCATACTCTATGCCAAGGAAACTCGGAGAAAAACATGCGGAGACCGTCCCAATCTCCTGAATTGTAATGCCATATAAGACGTGGGGGTGCCGGAGCAGTTGATGGAATGAAAAATGGGCAGGTTGTGGTGATGAGTGTGTGGTCAGAATTGCCAAGTGGAGCTCGTACATCTATGGTGTAGGGTGCTGAATTATTAGTAAGGAATAAGTCAAGTATGTTAGCTGAATGGTTATTGACATCGGGAATTCGTGTGGGTTCTTTGATAAGCTGCTCTAAGCCGTGAGTGATGGCGAAAGCTTCAGCTTGTCGCCCAGCTTCATCCGTTCTGTTAGAGTGTACGAGCCAAGCAGTGTTGTGTACATTGAAATCGCCCATGATGATGATTTCTGCTGCTGGATGGTTCTGTTGGATTTGGTCAAGCTTCAGAGACAAGAATTCGAAGAGCTCTTCATGGGATGGATCATTTGGTGATAAGTAGAGACAACAAAGGAATTTGGTCTGTTTCTGGCTATCGAGTTTGAACCACATGACATCAAACTTGTTTGGTTCCAAAGTTTTTTCTCGTTGACATGAGAGATTCGTTTTAGAGTAGAGGCAGAGACCTCCCTTGAATCTAAAACGTGTGTGGAGTTCGTACCCAGGACAGAGCAGATAGGTCGTATTGGTGGATGAATTGACCTGTGTTTCAGTAAGAGCCAATATGTCTGGCTTTTCAATTTGAAGGTGTCGATGGACATCGTTGATGTTCTTACTCAGACCTCGGATGTTACATAGGTCTATCTTGAGGACTTTTTCAGCCGATGGTGAACCCCCTCTAGCACCTCTCGCCCGGAAATCCGAATGGAGAGGTATTTTACTTCCGGATAATTTTACTTGAGGAGAACTCATCATCGCGTATTCTGAAAATTTGGTTACTCAAGTAATTGCTCTTGATCTATCGATCTAAAATATTTTCAGCTCTGCGGCGTTGCCGCTTCTAACGAAAAGTAGCAACAACTTTGTTATTTTAAATGGAACACCCTGTATTTTATCGCATTTTCAGATTCTCTCTGAAGAGCTGATTTCATCGATGTATCACACTTGGGGTCTAGCGGAAATGATTACAGAGATATAGGGTGTGAAAAATCGACATTTTTCAACTTTAGGAATTTTTTTTGTCGAAACTATTCATTATTGGTCAAAACGGCTCACATGTCCCCATCCCAACTTTTGATCAACTATCTACTGACATTTAATCGAAACAAATACAGGGTGGTGCAGAATTCAGATTCTTGATCACCCGGTATATGTCCCAATTAAATATCAGTAGATAGTTAATCAAAAGTTGAGATAGGGACATGTAAGCCGTTTTGACCAATAATGAATAGTTTCGACAAAAAAAATTCCTTAAGTTGAAAAATGTCGATTTTTCACACCCTATATCTCTGTAATCATTTCCGCTAGACCCCAAGTGTGATACATCGATGAAATCAGCTTCTCAAAGAGAATCTGAAAATGCGATAAAATACAGGGTGTTCCATATAAAATAACAAAGTTGTTGCTACTTTTCAATAGAAGCGGCAACGCCGCAGAGCTGAAAATATTTTAGATCGATAGATCAAGAGCAATTACTTGAGTAACCAAATTCTCAGAATGATCTTATGTCCCGTTCTCCGTAAACGTCTAAGGTGCCATCTACCGTGACCCACCCTGTATATTCTTGGTAAGGGTCGCTGCGAGCAACTGTTTTCGAGTTAATGCAATGCAATTGCAATGCAATTACGCCCTCTAGGGGCTGTCCTGGAAACTTGAAAATAATTTCCAGAGATTTCTCTTGGCCACTTTCATCAGTCATATTTTTTTTCGAAACCTGTGCGGCAAATAGTTTCGGAAATATAGCCAGCGTTCTTTCTTAGTGGTACACCCGGTACATTTTCCATTTCGTCAGATAAGTGATTATAGAATTTTGCTCCCTCATAAGATGGACAATTTTCATACAGACGAGTTGAATGTTTCTGGAGTCTTATCAATTCACCGTGCCAGGTAGGATACGTATGAAAGTCACAGTTTCGATCATAATTGTGCATTTGTTTCCAGAATAATAAAATACATTTGTAAATATAAATGCAAGGTACACACAAGATTTTATTCTCAATAAAGTGTTGCCTACAAGGTTCTCTGTAGTCTATTCCATATATTAGCTGTATGACCCTTTTCTGTGAGACGAATATTTTGCTGAGTTTTGACGAACATGCCCAAATGGCAATATCATAAGAAATATGGGAATATACAATAGCAACGTAAACATTTAGAAGTTGAGCCTTATATGATTTATACCCGACTCCCATGTCATGTTACCATCGATAACAGTACCTAGAAATTTGGTGTTGTCTGATGGTTTAAATATTGCATCAACCACTCTAACATGAAGATTATCAATTTTTCTATTAGTTCTGGGATAAAACTGCATCAGAAAAGTGTTCTCTACATTCACCACTGAAGAGTTTTCATTACACCAATTCGTGAACTCGAAGCTCAAGGTATTTAATTTTTCTTGAAGCTCCTCTGCAATCGCTGCAATCGTTGTATCATTTGCATACAAAACCACATAAGCTGAGCTTATATGATTGGGCATGTCATTGATTAATAGAAGAAAAATGAGTGGACCTAATATAGAACCTTGAGGAATCCCAAGATCAATGTCACATTACATCATTTACAATGTCGATCTAGTGTGTATAATCTTTGAGGAAGAGTTGTCGATGGTATCAGTGTTGCCAGTGTTGGTAGTTAGTCAGTCACCAGACAAGGTGATTTTCATGCAATTCAATATCTTACGAGTTGAAACCTTGAAGCGGAACAGGCATCAACTTTCGTAATTCAAATGGAACATCCTATATTTTATTTCATGATCGTTTAGCGATCATGATTACGAATCCAACGGAACCAAGTTTGATGAAGTATCCTCAAATGGCTACGGGGCTGATTGATTTTTCAGTATACTCCATGAATGTGACGGAGAAATTTTTGCTGGCGGAGTTGCCGGTTCCGTTGCTCTGCGTCCCACTCATGGAACAAGTTCAAAAATCAATCAGGTATGGCTGTGTCAAGTCTGTGGTTGACCGGACACATATACGGTCAGTATGAAGTCTGACCATCATTTTCACCATCCAGCTTTTTGGGAATATCGTTCACGTTTCAAACCTGCCCGCAAAGTTACCACGTTATTTTTGATCGTTGGATTTGTAATCATAATCACTAACCGATCATGAAAATAAATACAGGGTGTTCCATTTGACAACCGAAAGTCCCAAAGGGAAGTAAAAACATTGTAGTTCATCGAACGGCACCTGCGCCAATCACTATCCTGAGCAAAATGATGGAAAAATTGCACTTTCCTGTGCGGAAATTTGCACTCGATTTCGCGATTTGATAAGGAGATGAGAATTATGCAGACCGTCAATATTTCCGTGAATATTTCGCTTTCGTCGAAAGATAATATCCGATGGACCAGTGTGAAGCTCATGTGGTGCTCACACTACAAGTATTCAAATCCACATGTTGAGTTTCACACTGGTTCATCGGATATTAACTTCAGAGGGTAAGTAGAACTCAGTGGCCTGGTCAGATTTTCATAATAAGCTGTTATTATTTCATGTTTTCTTAAATAGAATACCCTGTAACACATTTTATCTAGGTGATTTGGGTTAAATCCTCATATTTTGAGCTCAGGATATATTACAGCTGAAATATATTCAATTATTGCCATATAGGTACAGTGTGAAAACCTATGATGGAATATATTTTTAAAAAATCCTCGGACAGGTCGACTTTTATTTTCGAAAATCTATTTTTTTTTTTTTTTTGAAAAAATTGTCAACTACCTGTTAACATTCTGCCCTACAAAACCTGTTCAAAATTTTCAAATAATACAAGGACATGGGATCAAGTTATACCTTGTCAGAGAGGTATTTCAAATTTCTATATGGTGGTCTATTTTCTTTTCTTTTCTGTTAATTGGAGCAGTCAAAAGATTCAAAATTTATTGGAATTTTTGTCAAGATTGTTGGTGATGGTAGATACTGTCATTCATTTTCATTAGTTTAGTTCCTACTTAATCAACTCAAAATCATGGAAATAATACACTAGTGACAGAACAATAAAGTCATTCACATGTTATTTTTTAAGCTTAAACCTTGAAGCCAGAAATCAAATTGAAGGGAATAAGTATTTTCAAGGCTCATATTTGCTGATATAAAATCACATGCTCTTATCCACACTCTAACATCTAAAATAATCAGTCATCTTATCTATAATCAAGTTTATAATGGATTTAGACAAAAAAAATTGAACTAATGAAACAGGATATCACAATGGTATTATCTTCCAATAGTTTGAACAACAATGTAATATCTTGACTTAATTTATCATATTTATTAGGTAGTTAGGTAGGAAAATACCCCAAGAAACATTGTTATTCATAACAAGTAGGTGTATTCATAGAAAATATAGGTTATTCTCAATACTGCATGTTCAGTGTTCAGCTTTGAAACAATAAGCAAAATGATTTTTCATGTAGAATCAAGGAATTGCAAAAATGATTTTGGATTGAAAATGTAATAGATATCTCATGTTTCTGAAAAAAAAATCAAACTAAGAGGTCTGTCAGTAAGAGCCTCCAGATAGTCTTAGGCCTCTTTGCCAGGATCTTCCATATGAAGAATAATATTGAAAATAAGAAGGAATGAGGTGTGACACTTACCTTTAGAGACATTTGGTTTATTATATTCACTCCTAGTTTTCTTCACTTGAATATTGCAGCTTAATTTTTCTAATGTAATTTCTCCTGTTACCCTATCTATTATGAGGACACATTCTTTAGTATATGGCTTCTGGGAACCTTTAAATACTGTCTGAGGAATGCCTGCCCCATCTGGAATAAGTTATGAAATGTTTAAATGGCTCTCTTGATAAAATCTGTTACTACTTACCTAAATGAGGGACTGTAACAGTAACTTGATTGACTCCAGGAACTTCAACATTTGCTTTTTTGCTGGTATCTACAGATGCTGGTTTGAAGTCATCTAGGAGTCAAAAATTAAACAATGGGTTTATGAAAATTAATAACTTACATTTTAGGGTATGAAAAGCTTTTGATTTTGGATTCGTAAAGCTCTGTCCAATTTTCAATTCTCTTATTTCATTTCCTAAACCTAATTTTTCAGCCATATTTCACTTTTCAAACCATTCTCCTTTTCATATACCTAGGATAAAATGTTCAGTTGTTTCGAGTATTTTTTAATGGAATCTTCAGAAATAAGAGAATTTCAAGTTGATATTCACTACATGGTTGAACCTTTGACTAATAAAATATCTTATAAAATTTCTAAACATATGAGCACACGTATTGAAAGGTAAAATGTAAAATATTGACCTACTTTTTGACGTTTGACCGACAACTTCAAAAGCGGTTTGTAACTTAGAAATAGATGGATTAAAGACTCCTGTAGCATGGAATTTGTCATCTAGATAATTAAAGGAATCTGTAATATTCTGTAATCAAATGCTCTTCTTCTTCTGTTATGAAACCCATAACCAGGAAACCACTTTTACACAAGGCCTCCGGACCTGGTCATTTGAACTATTTATGTTGGCAATGTTGGCAGCAAGCAGTTAAAAACAAATATGTTTGAACTATTTTTATTTGAAGGAAATATGGAAATTGAGGAATAAAATATAATGAAAAAGCCGAGCGTATTTCTCGAAATCATTTTCTGTGAATATTTGAAAAAGTTTTCCTGAATAGACTGGATTCCTTTTATACTGCTCAACATTTGGAAAGTTTGAAATTGAAATATAAAATTCTTGGGAGTGGAAGGAAGATGGAAGGGGAAATTATAATTATGTCGGCCATGTTGTGTGAAAGTGTTTTGGTCCTGTCAGATTAATGGATTTTTTATAAAATAGTGTATAAAAATGGAAGAAACTAAAGTTATATACCATATAGATGATGAAGAAACTCCTTATTTAGTTAAAATACCCATTTCAAAGGACAAAGTGACTTTATCAGATTTCAAAAATGTTCTCAACAGGCCCAACTACAAGTTCTTCTTCAAATCAATGGATGATGATTTTGGGTATACAGCTCTCTTTCATGCTCATGCCTGTTTTTTTAAATTGATACTATTTGCTCAATATACTGTTGATGATATTGATAACCTGGCATTCCTATAATTTCAATCCAAATGTTGACACTGGAAGCCATTATTGTTCATTTGTAAACATTTCATTTTTCTGTACTAAAGGAGGTACTATATTTGGAGGTATATTTGTAACATTATGGTCACATTACATGAAACTTTCCTCATTTCTATTTATTTGATTCAGATTCACATATATTTATATTAATTATAGAAAACAATGACTGCATACCATTCTCAATATACCTCCCATCAGGTCTTGCAAATATTTTATTATTCTCAATACAAAAATGTAAATTTAAGAAGTTGTTTTGATTGAAACATTATTGATGAAATTTCAGTGTTGTTAAAGAAGAAATAATTGATGATGCTGCACATCTCCCATTCTTCAATGGAAAGGTGGTTAGCTGGGTAAGTTATATTTTTTACAAAATGTATTTTTCACTTAGGTACATGAAAATATCCATGATTTCAAGCATAAATCACTTTGTCATTCGAAATTGTGCTTTATGATAATTTGTAGGTATGTATCTCCTATATCTTCAACTTTGTAATGAAAAATAAAACCTTCACCACCATCACCCATCACATGTTGAATGCATAATTTTTGATAAAAATTTTGAATATGTACCTACATCAGCAAGTTTATAAATGTGTCACTATTTGTTACAATTTCAATTTTCTATTGCCTAACAAAATGATTCATAAAACAAGTAACATTGAAATATAAATCAAATGAAATAGGTGATTGTGAATTGATTCCTTATTTATAGTAGAAAATTCCACTTAATTGAAAAAAATCAAATCATACTATTGCTACAAAACTAGAATCAAAAATTGAATACAAAAATCATCAAATTGTCTATACTCAGTGATTGAATGGAAAATAAGATATACAATCTGTGCATCAATTAGAAGTTTTTTCTTTAAATTATTAATTGATTCATTAATTATAATTTTATTTTCATCATCCCTCACAATAAGTTTTACTTCTCAAGGTTTTCTTTGTTCATTCAATACCAAAATGCTGAAATGTATTCTTCCAATTTATACTTTGAAAACAAAGAGAGAATTTGATCTCAGATTCCATAGACAACTCTTTCTTTAGATTTTCGAAATTAGCAGTTCAAGCAATGCAGTTGGCTCATATAGGTCCAGAAATATTTTTTTCCTGATTCCCCTAAAAATCCCAAAAAATTCATAGACATTAATTCAGACCCAAAACGAAAGAATTTGATGTCGGATTTGATAGATAACTCTCCCTTTAGATTTTCAAAATCAGCGGTTCAAGCAATGCAGTAGGCTCATATAGGTGGAAAAATTATTTTTTTCCTGATTGTCCTAAAAATCCCAAAAAATTCTGAGACACTAATTCAGACCCAAAAAGAAAGAATTTGATGTCAGATTTGATGAATAACTCTCCCTGTAGATTTTCAAAATCAGCGGTTCGAGCAATGCAGTAGGCTCATATAGGTGGAAAAATTATTTTTTTCCTGATTGTCCTAAAAATCCCAAAAAATTCTGAGACACTAATTCAGACCCAAAAAGAAAGAATTTGATGTCAGATTTGATGAATAACTCTCCCTGTAGATTTTCAAAATCAGCGGTTTGAGCAATGCAGTAGGCTCATATAGGTGGAAAAATTATTTTTTTCCTGATTGCCCTAAAAATCCCAAAAAATTCCTAGACATTAATTCAGACCCAAAACGAAAGAATTTGATGTCAGATTTGATAGATAACTCTCCCTTTAGATTTTCAAAATCAGCGGTTCAAGCAATGCAGTAGGCTCATATAGGTGGAAAAATTATTTTTTTCCTGATTGCCCTAAAAATCCCAAAAAATTCATAGACACTAATTCAGACCCAAAACGAAATAATTTGATGTCAGATTTGATGAATAACTCTCCCTGTAGATTTTCAAAATCAGCGGTTCGAGCAATGCAGTAGGCTCATATAGGTGGAAAAATTATTTTTTTCCTGATTGTCCTAAAAATCCCAAAAAATTCTGAGACACTAATTCAGACCCAAAAAGGAAGAATTTGATGTCAGATTTGATGAATAACTCTCCCTGTAGATTTTCAAAATCAGCGGTTCGAGCAATGCAGTAGGCTCATATAGGTGGAAAAATTATTTTTTTCCTGATTGTCCTAAAAATCCCAAAAAATTCTGAGACACTAATTCAGACCCAAAAAGAAAGAATTTGATGTCAGATTTGATGAATAACTCTCCCTGTAGATTTTCAAAATCAGCGGTTCGAGCAATGCAGTAGGCTCATATAGGTGGAAAAATTATTTTTTTCCTGATTGTCCTAAAAATCCCAAAAAATTCTGAGACACTAATTCAGACCCAAAAAGAAAGAATTTGATGTCAGATTTGATGAATAACTCTCCCTGTAGATTTTCAAAATCAGCGGTTCGAGCAATGCAGTAGGCTCATATAGGTGGAAAAATTATTTTTTTCCTGATTGCCCTAAAAATCCCAAAAAATTCATAGACACTAATTCAGACCCAAAACGAAATAATTTGATGTCAGATTTGATGAATAACTCTCCCTGTAGATTTTCAAAATCAGCGGTTCGAGCAATGCAGTAGGCTCATATAGGTGGAAAAATTATTTTTTTCCTGATTGTCCTAAAAATCCCAAAAAATTCTGAGACACTAATTCAGACCCAAAAAGAAAGAATTTGATGTCAGATTTGATGAATAACTCTCCCTGTAGATTTTCAAAATCAGCGGTTCGAGCAATGCAGTAGGCTCATATAGGTGGAAAAATTATTTTTTTCCTGATTGTCCTAAAAATCCCAAAAAATTCTGAGACACTAATTCAGACCCAAAAAGAAAGAATTTGATGTCAGATTTGATGAATAACTCTCCCTGTAGATTTTCAAAATCAGCGGTTCGAGCAATGCTGTAGGCTCATATAGGTGGAAAAATTATTTTTTTCCTGATTGCCCTAAAAATCCCAAAAAATTCATAGACACTAATTCAGACCCAAAACGAAATAATTTGATGTCAGATTTGATGAATAACTCTCCCTGTAGATTTTCAAAATCAGCGGTTCGAGCAATGCTGTAGGCTCATATAGGTGGAAAAATTATTTTTTTCCTGATTGCCCTAAAAATCCCAAAAAATTCATAGACACTAATTCAGACCCAAAACGAAATAATTTGATGTCAGATTTGATGAATAACTCTCCCTGTAGATTTTCAAAATCAGCGGTTCGAGCAATGCAGTAGGCTCATATAGGTGGAAAAATTATTTTTTTCCTGATTGTCCTAAAAATCCCAAAAAATTCTGAGACACTAATTCAGACCCAAAAAGAAAGAATTTGATGTCAGATTTGATGAATAACTCTCCCTGTAGATTTTCAAAATCAGCGGTTCGAGCAATGCAGTAGGCTCATATAGGTGGAAAAATTATTTTTTTCCTGTTTGTCCTAAAAATCCCAAAAAATTCTGAGACACTAATTCAGACCCAAAAAGAAGGAATTTGATGTCAGATTTGATGAATAACTCTCCCTGTAAATTTTCAAAATCAGCGGTTCGAGCAATGCAGTAGGCTCATATAGGTGGAAAAATTATTTTTTTCTTGATTGTCCTAAAAATCCCAAAAAATTCTGAGACACTAATTCAGACCCAAAAAGAAGGAATTTGATGTCAGATTTGATGAATAACTCTCCCTGTAAATTTTCAAAATCAGCGGTTCGAGCAATGCAGTAGGCTCATATAGGTGGAATAATTATTTTTTTCCTGATTGCCCTAAAAATCCCAAAAAATTCATAGACACTAATTCAGACCCAAAACGAAATAATTTGATGTCAGATTTGATGAATAACTCTCCCTGTACATTTTCAAAATCAGCGGTTCGAGCAATGCAGTAGGCTCATATAGGTGGAAAAATTATTTTTTTCCTGATTGCCCTAAAAATCCCAAAAAATTCATAGACACTAATTCAGACCCAAAACGAAATAATTTGATGTCAGATTTGATGAATAACTCTCCCTGTACATTTTCAAAATCAGCGGTTCGAGCAATGCAGTAGGCTCATATAGGTGGAAAAATTATTTTTTTCCTGATTGCCCTAAAAATCCCAAAAAATTCATAGACACTAATTCAGACCCAAAACGAAAGAATTTGATGTCAGATTTGATAAATAACTCTCCCTGTAGATTTTCAAAATCAGCGGTTCGAGCAATGCAGTAGGCTCATATAGGTGGAAAAAATATTTTTTTCCTGATTGCCCTAAAAATCCCAAAACATTCATAGACACTAATACAGACCCGAAACGAAAGAATTTGATGTCAGATTTGATAAATAACTCTCCCTGTAGATTTTCAAAATCAGCGGTTCGAGCAATGCAGTAGGCTCATATAGGTGGAAAAAATATTTTTTTCCTGATTGCCCTTAAAATCCCAAAAAATTCATAAACACTAATTCAGATCCAAAACGAAAGAATTTGATGTCAGATTTGATAGATAACTCTCCCTGTAGATTTTCAAAATCAGCGGTTCGAGCAATGCAGTAGGCTCATATTGGTGGAAAAATTATTTTTTTCCTGATTGCCCTAAAAATCCCAAACAATTCATAGACACTGATTCAGACCCAAAAAGAAAGAATTTGATGTCAGATTTGATGAATAACTCTCCCTGTAGATTTTCAAAATCAGCGGTTCGAGCAATGCAGTAGGCTCATATAGGTGGAAAAATTATTTTTTTCCTGATTGCCCTAAAAATCCCAAAAAATTCATTAACACTAATTCAGACCCAAAACGAAATAATTTGATGTCAGATTTGATAGATAACTCTCCCTGTAGATTTTCAAAATCAGCGGTTCGAGCAATGCAGTAGGCTCATATAGGTGGAAAAATTATTTTTTTCCTGATTGCCCTAAAAATCCCAAAAAATTCATAGACACTAATTCAGACCCAAAACGAAAGAATTTGATGTCAGATTTGATAGATAACTCTCCCTGTAGATTTTCAAATTCAGCGGTTCGAGCAATGCAGTAGGCTCATATAGGTGAAAAAATATTATTTTCCTGATTGCCCTAAAAATCCCAAAAAATTCATAGACACTAATTCAGACCCAAAACGAAAGAATTCGATGTCAGATTTGATAGATAACTCTCCCTGTAGATTTTCAAAATCAGCGGTTCGAGCAATGCAGTAGGCTCATATAGGTGGAAAAATTATTTTTTTCCTGATTGCCCTAAAAAATCCCAAAAAATTCATAGACACTCAATCAGACCCAAAAAGAAAGAATTTGATGTCAGATTTGATGAATAACTCTCCCTGTAGATTTTCAAAATCAGCGGTTCGAGCAATACAGTAGGCTCATATAGGTGGAAAAAATATTTTTTTCCTGATTACCCTAAAAATCCCAAAAAATTCATAGACACTAATTCAGACCCAAAAC